ATAGATATATGTGAGAGATCTGAGCTCGGGGGTCGGAGGCATCCTGGGATGCGCTCCTTAGGATTAGTTTTGCACCTGGGTGGAATGTGAGAGAACCGTGGTGTGAATGTGTTGGAATGAATGTGGTTGATCTTTTAGATATAGCTAGGGAGATAGGATAGTTGTCTGGAATCAATACCCAGCTGAAGCAAATAGGTCCAGTGGGTGGGCCAGCAAATAGGTAGGTGGGATCTTTTCCTTTGGGTTTGTGGGGAGAACCTGGACCTGGGATACTTTTCCATCGTTCATATCCTTCTGAAAGTAGGGCAAGTGCAAGAATATTTTATGTACTATATTTCATGAAATAAACATCACCGATATCTCATTATTGATATGTCATAACGAGATAGAGATTAAGATGATTTAAGCTATCACTTAACAGGTAAGACACTTCATGATGTGAAAAGACAGGAATCCTGTCTAGGAGAAATATAAGAAGCAGAGTGTAGTGAAATCCAACTTCGGGGTGGAAGCAGATGGAACCGGGGCTTCAAACCCCAGGTATCATTCGGGAAAGTTCTCGTAGGGAGTACCGCACGAAAAAGACGTGATGTCAACCGGTGAATATGGCAAAGATAAGAATCCTATCAAAAGGGATGAAATGTAAGAAGTGGACTTTAGTGAAAACCAACTTCGAAGCGGAAGCAGATGGAACCTAGGCTTCAAACCCCAGGTATCATTGAGGAAAGTTCTCGTAGGGAGTACCGCACGAAAAAGACGAGATGTCGACCGGTGAATCTGGGAAAGATAAGAATCCTATCAAAAGGGATGAAATGTAAGAAGTTGACTTTAGTGAAAACCAACTTCGAAGCGGAAGCAGATGGAACCGAGGCTTCAAACCCCAGGTATGCTTCAGGAAAGTTCTCTTAGAGGAGTACCGCACGAAAAAGACGAAATGTCGACCGGTGAATCTGGGAAAGATAAGAATCCTATCAAAAGGGATGAAATGTAAGAAGTTGACTTTAGTCGAAACCAACTTCGAAGCGGAAGCAGATGGAACCTAGGCTTCAAACCCCAGGTTTCCTTCAGGAAAGTTCTTCTAGAGGAGTACCGCACGAAAAAGACGTGATATCGATCGGTGAGTCTGGGAAAGATAAGAATCGTATCAAAAGGAAGAAATGAAGTGGAAGTTCTCCTAGAGGAGTACCGCACGAAAAAGACGTGATATCGACCGGTGAATCTAGGAAAGATAATAATCCTATCAAAAGGAAGAAATGAAGTGGACTTTAGTCAAAACCAACTTCGAAGCGGAAGCAGATGGAACCAAGGCTTCAAACCCCGAGTCTCCTTCAGGAAAGTACTCCTAGGGAAGTACCGCACGAAACAAAGGGAACGTCCGCCGGTAAGTCGCAACTTTCCGTTCCTCGGACGCCCGCCATGCCCCATGGGATGAAATGTCCGAACCGGCATGGAGGTCGGTTGTATGTTACCCGATATATCCGAGTAACCGCGAGTCGACGGGACGACCTCTCGTCAACTCACGAGTGGCCACGCATATTTCCTTTGTTGTTTCTGTGTCAACTTAGACCAGGACTAGACTCCTGCGTCCGCGGTAGATCTCGGTTTGAAATACTTCGTCGAGTGCCGGGAAGTCACACAGCCCTCCTGGTTCCATATTTTTCCTTGCCTTTCTTAAACTAAGCCGACGGTGGCACTTGATGATACGTTTGTGTGCGAGAACTGAACTCGGGGGTCGAAGGCATCCTGGGATGCGCTCTCTAGGATTAGGGGTTTTGCACCTGGGTAGAATGTGAGAGAACCGTGGAGTGAATGCGTTAGGCAGTAGCTCGTCTTACCGATATGTAAATTAATCAAGTTAGGATTCTTTCAGCCTCATCAACGGTAGGGGCCTCTTTTTGTGGCCGCGTCCTTAATCAGTTAGTCAGTAGCTCGTCTTGACGATATCGAAATTAATCAGGTTAGGATTCTTTCAGCATCAACGGTAGGGGCCTCTTCCTGTGGCCACGTCCTTAATCAGTTAGTCAGTATCTCGTCTTAACGATATCGAAATTAATCAAGTTAGGATTCTTTCAGCCTCATCAACGGTAGGGGCCTCTTTCTATGGCCGCGTCCTTTGCTGGCCCTCGCCTTTCGACTGCTCCAGGAGCGAGTCGAAGGGGTCGAAACCAGGAGGTGTAGTAAATGAATACTTTGCGAGCTCCTTCAATTGCCATCCGTATTCGGATAGCGGGTATTCATTTAATTGTTTCAAATTCAACCGGCGATGGCAATCCATAATGCGTTTACGTGCGAGAATTAACTTCGGGGGTCGGAGGCATCCTAGGATGCGCTCTCTACGATTAGGGGTTTTGCACCTGGGTGGAATGTGAGAGAATCGTGGAGTGAATGGGTTAGTTACAGTCAGTAGCTCGACTTAGCCATATTGAAATTAACCAAGTTAGGATTCTTTCAGCCTCATCAACGGTAGGGGCCTCTTTCTGTGGCCGCGTCCTTAATCAGTTAGTCAGTAGCTCGTCTTGACGATATCGAAATTAATCCGGTTAGGATTCTTTCAGCATCATCAACGCTAGGGGCCTCTTCCTGTGGCCACGTCCTTAATCAGTTAGTCAGTATCTCGTCTTAGCGATATCGAAATTAATCAAGTTAGGATTCTTTCAGCCTCATCAACGGTAGGGGCCTCTTTCTGTGGCCGCGTCCTTAATCAGTTAGTCAGTAGCTCGTCTTGACGATATCGAAATTAATCCGGTTAGGATTCTTTCAGCATCATCAACGCTAGGGGCCTCTTCCTGTGGCCACGTCCTTAATCAGTTAGTCAGTATCTCGTCTTAGCGATATCGAAATTAATCAAGTTAGGATTCTTTCAGCCTCATCAACGGTAGGGGCCTCTTTCTGTGGCCGCGTCCTTAATCAGTTAGTCAGTAGCTCGTCTTGACGATATCGAAATTAATCCGGTTAGGATTCTTTCAGCATCATCAACGCTAGGGGCCTCTTCCTGTGGCCACGTCCTTAATCAGTTAGTCAGTATCTCGTCTTAGCGATATCGAAATTAATCAAGTTAGGATTCTTTCAGCCTCATCAACGGTAGGGGCCTCTTTCTGTGGCCGCGTCCTTAATCAGTTAGTCAGTAGCTCGTCTTGACGATATCGAAATTAATCAGGTTAGGATTCTTTCAGCATCATCAACGCTAGGGGCCTCTTCCTGTGGCCACGTCCTTAATCAGTTAGTCAGTATCTCGTCTTAACGATATCGAAATTAATCAAGTTAGGATTCTTTCAGCCTCATCAACGGTAGGGGCCTCTTTCTATGGCCGCGTCCTTTGCTGGCCCTCGCCTTTCGACTGCTCCAGGAGCGAGTCGAAGGGGTCGAAACCAGGAGGTGTAGTAAATGAATACTTTGCGAGCTCCTTCAATTGCCATCCGCGTTCGGGTTGCGGGTATTCATTAAATTGCTTCAAATTCAACCGGCGATGCCAATCGATAATAGATATATGTGAGAGAACTGAACTCGGGGGTCAGAGACATCCTGGGATGCGCTCCCTAACCTCTCTGCACCTGGGTGGAATGTGAGAGAATCGTGGAGCGAATGGGTTAGTTACAGTCAGTAGCTCGTCTTAGCCATATCGATACGATCGTCACGACGTACCCCCTAGCCACGATCGTGGTCACGTTTCGCTCAGTCAACGTATTCAGTCATCGTTTTCTGCCTCGATTTTGCCGCACATCTTTTAGTTAATATGTTATTATCATTGCCACAACCAACATCGAAACGTCCGCGTAGAACGCAGCTGAGAGACCCACATATTTATTTCCAATAAAATATTACATTCTTTATACGTCGTAAATCTGAATCGGGGCTACCCGGACCATCACACGACACCTCGAAAGTGATATATCAAGTGACTTCAAGATGAGCTCAAAATGATCAATCATTGACTTGAAGAAGAAACCGCGCGGCATGGTGTTGCATACTCACGGCAATAAAGTCGAACTGGTAAATCGTTTGTCAGTGGACAACACGCGCTGTCACCAAGTTTACTTTTACGAAACTGCATATTGAACGAGATCGAATTCCGGTCATCCGTTTGCGAGGAACGTCGATTCTACCCCGTGCAAACCGAGAGTCTGTTTTTAGCAAACGGCAAACAGGTGTTTAATGTACGACGTGCTGCATGGTCAGTTTGCTTTTACGAAATTGTGCATTAGAGAAGATTGGGAGATGGACATTCGTTTGTGAGGAACGTCGATGCTACCCCGTGCAAACCGAGAATCTGTTATTGTCATGTGCTTAAGCACGTGTTTAATGTACGACGTACTGCATGGTCAGTTTGCTTACACGAAACTGCATATTGAACATGATCGAATTCCGGTAATCCATTTGCGAGGAAAGTCGATTCTACCCCGTGCAAACCGAGAATCCGTTTTTGGTAAACGGCAAACACGTGTTTAATGTACAACATGCTGCAATGGTCAATTTGCTTATACGAAACTGCGCATTGAAGAAGATCGAAATGCAACCATCCGTTTGCGAGGAACGCTGATTCTGTCCCATGCAAACCGAGAACCTCTTTTTCGCAAACCGCGAACACGTGTTTAATGTACGACGTACGGCATGGTCAGTTTACTTATACGAAACTGCATATTGAACAGGATCGAATTCTTGTCATCCGTTTCCGAGGAACGTCGATTCTACCCCGTGCAAACCAAGAACCTCTTTTTCGCAAACCGCGAACATGTGGTTAATGTACGACGTGCTGCATGGTCAGTTTGCTTAAACGAAACTGCATATTGAACAAGATCGAATTCCGGTAATCCGTTTCCGAGAAACGTCGATTCTACCCCGTGCAAACCGCGAACACGTGGTTAATGTACGCCGTGCTGCATAGTCAGTTTGCTTTTACGAAATTGTGCATTAGAGAAGATTGGGAGATGGACATTCGTTTGCAAGAAACGTCGATTCTACCCCGTACAAACCGAGAACCTCTTTTTCGCAAACCGCGAACACGTGGTTAATGTACAACGTGCTGCATGGTCAGTTTGCTTATACGAAACTGCATATTGAACAAGATCGAATTCTTGCCATCCGTTTGCAAGAAACGTCGATTCTACCCCGTGCAAACCGAGAATCTCTTTTTCGCAAACGGCGAACACGTGTTTAATGTACATGTTGCATAGTTAGTTTGCTTATACGAAACTGCATATTGAACAAGGTCGAATTCTTGCCATCCGTTTGCAAGAAACGTCGATTCTACCCCGTGCAAAACGAGAATCTCTTTTTCGCAAACGGCGAACACGTGTTTAATGTACATGCTGCATAGTCAGTTTGCTTATACGAAACTGCATATTGAACAAGATCGAATTCTTGCCATCCGTTTGCAAGAAACGTCGATTCTGTCCCGTGCAAACCAAGACCCTCTTTTTCGCAAACGGCGAGCAAGTGTTTGCCTTGCATGGCTCAAATTTCAATTTGCAAACTGTGGTTCGGCATAACGTATATGCATCGCCACAAGACCAGGGTGTCTCACTGAACGCGTCGTGTAAACGCGAATAATTTTAGGAATCCAAGGCTAAACGCCATGAACAAGACCAAGGCTCATACACATACCTCATACCCCATGAACAAGACAAGTCATGGCTCATACACATTCCTCATTTTTAGCGGTAATGAGGTCTATTATATATAGCATTTAAATGATTAAAATTAATGATTTAACGCTAAAAGTGAGGTAAGAGTACCGCCCCATGTGTTTAATGTGAGAGAATGCCACAGTTGATATGTGCCCATAATTATGAAAGTGGTCTAAGTCATATACTTTTTGTTTCGAAATTACATTGAATTAATTTCGTTTGAAATAATATGGTGTGAAATAACTGATAAACTCATTTTTTTTGTTAATTTTGACTTAGACCACTTTCATAATTATGGGCACATATGTCCAATAGTTTCTGTGTGCTTTGTGCCTAAGCAGATTTGTTACAAAACGTTATGTGCTCTCAATAATCAACCAGACATTCTCTTGGTCCCTATTATTCAATCGTCTCGAACTTTCACCATTTTATTCCTGTCCTAAAATTCGTGAAGCTCCGATTAGTTCCTCGTCTCCTCTCGCCATCAAATTCTCCGTTTCTCAAATTTCTACCAAATAACGAAAAAGGAACAGATTTCTTTAGCAGGTTTAAAAGAGAGGATTTTCTTACGATAGTACCAAACCTAACTTACGCTGATAAAACGCAATTACAATTGTAGAAGTTTAACTTTGAAATAAAGTACAGGGTTGACCCATAAATTCGTACCGTTTAAATGTTCAACATTTTAGCATCTTACTTTTTTTTCAAACGAGGGGTCGAAGAATTGCCTAACCGTTGAGAAGACGTTGCCAACAACGAAGGGAATTATATTAATGACTAATATTGTTAAATTTCACGTTTTTAAGTAATTTTTTCTATATAATATGAAGACCGGCACGAACTTTTGGGACAACCCAATGTTTTAACTCTACGTCTTAAAAATACGTTTTTCTTAACCGTTTGACTGCTAAGCAATTTTTGCAAGAACGCACGAAAACTGCGGAGCAACAAAGAAACACTGAAACTCGCAGCGCAAAAGCACTGCGTCGCGGTTTTCGAGACAAATGAACGCAGCGCTTTTGCGCCGCGTAGCAGTCAAACGGTTAATTATCCAACTATTATCTTGCGAATCGATTTCAAAACACATGGACAGGATCTGACTCCCCCATTTATGCTGCAAACTTCCCACCAGAGGGAGAAGTCTTCGAATTCGATACGGATATATCCATAGTGCACTTACTACGTAATCGAAGACTGCTGAAACTCCATCGATGATGTTCTCCTGGTAGTTGATCGGCGATGTAAGTAGAAACAGGTAACTGGTTGTAAGATCTTGGTATGGCAATCATCGGCAGAAAACTCCATTGATAGCGTTCTCCCGATAACTGATCGGCAGTGTAAGTAGAAACGGGTAACTGGTTGTCACATCGTCTGGATATGACAATAATCGGCAGACAACTCCATTGATGGTGTTCTCCCGGTAGTTGATCGGCAGTGTAAGTAAAAACGGGTAACTGGTTGTAAGATCATCCGGATATGACAATTATCGGTAGAAAACTGCATTGATGGTATTCTCCCAGTAGCTGATCGACGGTGTATGCAGAAACAGGTAACTGGTTGTAAGATCTTCCGGGTATGACAATCATCAGCAGAAAACTGCATTGATGGTATTCTCCCAGTAGTTGATCAGCGATGTAAGTAGAAATAGGTAACTGGTTGTAAGATCTTCCGGATATGACAATAAACGGCAGAAAACTCCATTGATGGTATTCTCCCAGTAGCTGATCGACGGTGTATGCAGAAACAGGTAACTGGTTGTAAGATCTTCCGGATATGACAATCATCAACAGAAAACTTCATTGTTCTCCCGGTGGCTGATCAACGGTGTAAATAGGATCAGGTAACTGGCTGTAAGATCTTCCGGATATGACAATCATCGGCAGAAAAAAACCGAATCCTTTGATCCCGTGTGCTCTGCAAGGGCTCGGTTGGTCCCATTAAATCCCTAATCAAGAGTGCTGATTAGCATGGGGGGGCCTCGATTGTCTTTATGTCTCCAAAACAGGTGCGAACCGATCCAATTCGCAGATCGATTCAAGATAGCCGGTGCGTGTCCCACGCAGTAAAAAGCCTGGAAAATAATATAAAAAATTCAACATTTTAATTCCAGTGAATGCCTCATTTTGCCTTCGCCTCATAATCCGTTGACGCGAAAAGAAACGAAAAACGACATCCAATCCTTATTGGACTTTATCAGTCTCTCGAATATATAGAGTGGAATTTATTCAAATGAAATGCACTAAACTCGTATTCCAGAACAAGGATTCAAGGCAATTAACATGCATATATCTTTTTAAGGAACTGGAAGGAATTAAATTAACCTCTGATAAATGTGCAGACCTCTTAACGGAATACATATCATCTGAAGGTAATATGAAATATATATATATCTGCACAGTCAGTTTACTTATACGAAACTGCATATTGAACAAGATCGAATTCCGGCCATCCGTTTGCGAGGAACGTCGATTCTACCCCGTGCAAACCGAGAATCTCTTTTTCGCAAACGGCGAACACGTGTTTAATGTACGACATGCTGCATAGTCAGTTTGCTTATACGAAACTGCATATTGAACAAGATCGAATTCTTGCCATCCGTTTGCAAGAAACGTCGATTCTACCCCGTGCAAACCGAGAATCTCTTTTTCGCAAANGGGAGACATCGATGCCCTCCAATCCTGCACAGGCGATGCCATATCTGCAGGGGAGGCATTCATGTCCGCCATTGTACACAGCCTAAGGGTAGACGAACACGAGGGGGAGAAGCCAAGGATGAGTAATACGGTATATGGTTTGAAAACTACTCGGAAAATAAGAAATACATTCTGATACAATTACGAAAGCGTACCTAGCAGAGTAGACCCGTGACCTTCCGGATGAACTTGATGAAAGAATCTTGGCGCAAGAGCACATCCCATCCCGTCCACATCCCATCTCCGTGGCCATTGTCGTCGCCTCGAAATCCATAGAAAATCTGTTGGATTTCGTTATTTGATATTACTAAATGTTTATTATAAATTAAATCTTAGTTATACCGAATCTCTAGGTCACTAATGTTAAACTGCACTGCTTAAACTGTTCGTTAATAGAGAGAGACGTATTCTCTGCCTTCACCTTTCAAATGCGAATTGAGACTCCTCCGAATATTTCGAACTAACGTTCTATTAGGACTGCCGGAAACCCCTCACACCATTCCCTAGCTTTCCCCTCGAAAAACCCCACAATGGGATTTTTCCCCCACCTTTCCCTACCCCAGAAGACCCCAGGGTTGCCAACCGTACTAACGTTATAGTATTTGTACTACTATCTCAAGGTTTGTTCGTTTTGCCTACTCTTTTTACACTTTCACGAAAAGCGTTATCGATACCATAAGTGAACTGATTTAATTTTTGAGATCGGAGGGGAATTCTTTTCAGTAATTCGTTGAGGATGATATCGACTGATAATGATAATCGACTGATCACATCAACTAATACATATCGATACCAAGATTTAATTTTTGGGATCGGAGGGAGATTCGTTTCAGTAATTCATTGAGGATGATATCGACTGATCACATCAATTAATACATATCGATACCAAGATTTAATTTTTGGGATCGGAGGGGAATTCTTTTCAGTAATTTGTTGAGGATGATATAACAGGAGGAAATTATTCGGAAGTACCAATTTGTTAGAGCAGAGTGTAACGGTTTCAGTTTCTGGGTATAAGATTAGTTGTTGATTGTTTTTCGATGGGGTCATTTCGAAGCAGTTTGTGGTCTACTTTTCAGTCAAGGATAAGGAGAGAGTCAAAGTACGCATTGGTGTTTATCTAGAGCGCGTTCTTAAGAATACACTTAATGCAAAATATTCTAGGAAATATATGTTTCCGTTCTATGAGATATTTCAAGATTCTTACGACATTTGTAACGTGAGGGAGAATGGACATTACGGAATTTGTATTAATTTATACTTTACATGAATTAAATAAAGACACGGTTTCGATAAAAGAATTAAAAGAAAAACCATCAATGGCTTTGATAACTCGTTTGAGACAATGAATGGTCAAATGAAGACACGGTTTCGTTAAAAAAATTAACAGACGAGCCATCAATGGTTCTCGTAATTCATTTGAGATAATGAATGGTCAAATAACAAACCCAGGCAATGAACGGGTGGATAACAATCAAAGGTAGTTTGCCTTGCTTTGATTGTACCTCCACATTTGTATATTCTCTTTGCCTCGATTATTCGTGTTCAAATATGTCAACCCCACTTTACTCTTCATTTCTTTGATGTTCATGCTTTCTGTAAATTTAACGTTAACAATGTCTGATATCGCTTTAATTCAATGCTGGAAATCCAAAAGTCACATGTTAATTAGACATCTTTTTTGTGTTCTTTTTAGTATGCATGAATTCCTATCCTGACGACGATTGTATATTTTATTTTATTATAGATTTTAAAACGGAAGGACATGAACAAGATGCAAAGGACCTCCCATGAACGTATAATTTTTAACTACTTCAGAATCTTTTGAAACACCACCATACTACAATGTGATAGCAATTTCTTTATAAGTATCGTGACGAATGTTATACATATGATTAATAACAAATCCTTTTGCAAAAATCCTAAATATATGACCCTTACCCTCTATAACATTGTAATTCTAATATGAAGCATCTAATTCAATTTTTTCATATGGAATTATTAATGCTGTCGATTCTTAGGAACCGACGCCGTGTAAACGGAAAGTCCACTGTCGATTTCTTGGGAACGACGCCGCGCTCAACATGTTAAATATTCATCTCTGCCTCGTTCGATGATAACTAACCTCAAAATTCCAGCGGTGAGTACCGGTGCAATTCGCCGTGGAAAACAATCGTCGAATTTTCAACAATATATTTATCTACAATGGAAAAAACTACACTGTCATTTCTAATTACTATAGTTTCGTAATCAAAGGTATCTCGACAAGCTTCCTCGAGTTAAAAAATACTTGATAAACGTAAACGATCGTTAACCCTCACCTTCTTCCACCTTCTTCCACCCAGGGATGCGAAGAGAATGAGAAAGAGTGGAAGCTACCATAAGCAGAGATGAGTTGGGTGGTTGCTCACGGGCAGAGTTGCGATTGCATACTGTGCTGCCCTCAGTGGAGAATACGGGCGGCTCGCGCACTTGTCGCCAATGGCGACCCATCCACTGAAATATATTGTACATACTTCTGGGCTTCTATGGAGACTTCTGAATTCTTTGTCCAAAATTGGACTTCGGGATCTGTCCAAATATTCTTACGTCCATGGTGAAGATTTACAACTGTCAAAAATCTTTTACGCGAGAAGGATCACCGAGTCTCATTTGATTACAAGGCTTTATTAATTAGAAATAACAATGTAATTGTTTGCATTGTAGATAAATATCTGGTTAAGGACTCGACAATCGTATTCCATGGTGGATTATACTAATGCTCACCGCTTGGATTTTGAGGTTAGTTACAATGGAACAAGGCAGTGATAAATATTTAAATCGCAAATAATGCAGCTATTGTCTTTAGCACTTACGCAAGCTGTAACATGACAATTCACTTTTTGAAAGAGCCCGCGGACCGACAACTATACATTTCCGATGATTTGGAAATTTAGATTTGGGAACAAGTGAAAAATTAATTATAATACAAATCTTGTAACAAGAATTGCAATTCGGTGACATCGCAGCTAAATGATCTACTCAGTCGCAAAAGAATCGAGTCAGGTGCCGGTTTCTCATAAGAATTGCAAGGTTATGCTAGGTAAGGGTAATTCAATTCTAATTATTACAAAAGGAGTCTGTACAAAAATTATTAACTATGATGTTTAAACAGTATGTCAGAATCTTAACTTTCGGTGGCAGGAGTTCTTTAACTGCAGCATATCAATCGTAATAACCAGCAATCTTATCTCTTGGTTTTTCTTAGCTAAGGATTTTTGCTTCGTATAGAATATAGATTATATCACGTAGATGACGTATCTTTGGTTTGCGATATGAAGCTGATATTGTGTTGTGTGTTCTAGGGGCTTGCAGAGTATCATTATTTACATATCAGGAGGTCAACAGTGGGAAATAACGCCTAGTGTAATAAAATCTTATGATACGGCGCTTTGTAACCAGTAAATAACCAATCGAAGAGTACGGCATTTTTTTAAATACTTAACGATACAACGATGTGTGTTCTAGGGGCTTGCAGAGTATCATTATTTACAGACCAGGAGGTCAGCAGTGGAAAATAACGCTTAGTGTAATAAAATCTTATGATACGCCGCTTTGTAGCCAATAAATAACCAATCGAAGAGTACGGCATTTTTTGAAATACCTAACGATACAAAAAGAATCATATGGATAACATGGAAGACCTATCTTCAGATGGTGACGATGTAGTTGGATTAGATGCAACATATTCTATGACCTACTGCCCTCCGAATGTTACGTTTGGTGAAATTTGGGTGAATCATGGAATGTCTGAGTGTTTTATGGATACAGTTTCCACCTTGATTGTTTCATTTTACTTGTTAATCTTTGGGACAATCCAATTATGGATGTACAGGAAATATGGAACAGACACCAATGAAAATATGCTTCCTAAGAGTAAATTGTACACTATGCAGAAGTTACTACTATATTTTGTTCCGCTCCTTGCTGCTGTTCGACTGGGTCTTCATGGTTTGGTGCTTGACAACAAAACTATATATGGTTACATGGTAAGAACAATTGATTAAATTAAACCGATACTAGCGTTTTACAGATGTATACAAAGAAAATTAACTATGTACACGTTTTTACTGTTAGATTCTTGGAATGGTTCTAAGGATGATCGCCTACCCATACTCTGTTCACATTCTACGTGTGGAACGACACAAGCAACTGCCAAGCGTCCCGACTAGAGGCCATGGATTAGTACTCCTTGGGTTCTGGACGTTGGCATTTGTATCTGACAATCTTGTCTTTATCAATATCAAGAAGTTTGAATGGTGGTTCCAGCTCGACTCGTGTGTATACCCAAATCCTCTCCTAAGTACCTAAAAGATGACAATATGATTCCCATTCTCCTTCTCCTGTCCTCAGCACGACCGATCGGGTGGAAATGGCCCTCTTCGTTCTCCGTTATGTCAGCGGTTTAATGATCTTCGCCCTCGGTTTACGAGCACCTGGAGTGATTGGCAGCTCAGACAATGAGTATCATACTTTCAATGATACGGCTGAGACACGTTCACGTTACTACTACAATGTGAGTTCGCTTTCCTTTTCAATAAGTCTAAAAACTAATAGTCACCAAGCTGGTCATTTAAAGTACAAATAACTTCAATCCAAAACATACAAAGACATTTCTCTTCCATTATATCTTATCGTCTGAACATTATCATTTTCCTCGAGAAGTACTGAATAATTAGAGCGTTTTTAAACGTTTCTTTCCCTCATTACTTTGCACATAACTAAATTTTTCCTAGAAAACGAATCGGTCATGTAATGCACTCGAAAGTCTGAAGTCACCCCGTAGATGTGCACTCCCTATTTTCTAACACGTCTATTTTCCGTTTGGGAAAAGTTCCAAGACATCTGCGAACGCACCTAACCTCCTTAGTTCTCGAGACCGGCATTTTCGGTCGTTTTCTCTTTCAGAGAAAGAATCGCTTAGTGGATTCTGCTCGTGTCTCGCGCAGATATGAAAATGACTGGCCAGTGTCATGTAGGAAACGATCGATTTATTGTAATACGCAAAGTGAATGTCCGATTGCAGAGACCCGATGACGAAGGCTCAACCTGGAAAAACGCCTGGTCCAAAGTCAAAGTTCTCGCACCCTTCCTCTGGCCGAAAGCGGACGTTTTGCTGCAATTCAGGGTCTTCCTCTGCTTCGCACTCCTGGGAATGGGACGAGTCATTAACCTTTACGTACAGATATATAATAAACTGATCGTGAACAGTATTTCTGATACTCCTGGTGTGTTCAGGTAATACTAAAAGAAATATGTGCTTAAAACTTTCTTATTTTAAATTAATTCAATCAGATACAGCTATTTAACATTCTCGATAACTGTTGCCTGATACTTGAAAGAAACAGTGGCCATACAAGAACTGTCACTGTTAAGTCAGTGATCATATTAATAGTTACAATAAATAGGCCATCGATTATAATCAGTATCGAAAGAAGAATGCAGAGAAACACTATTTTATTAATAATTATATGAATTTCCTTTGTACTTGTCGCTATACATAGGTGAAAATTTTTGAAGCGACGCGCTATAAGTTTTTAAGATCGATGTAATAGGTAGTCTGGATTTATTCAGGGCATAATAGCTAATAAAAAGGCAAGGGTTGTCGTGGTACATCTTATCGATTCATAAAAGCTTAACACAAGGATAGTTAACAATTGTTGTCTCTTTTTTAGGTGGGACTTGATACTGACCTATGTAGCATTCAAGTTCTTACAAGGTGGTGGCACGGGAGGCATGGGAGTACTTAATAATTTACGGTCCTTTCTTTGGATTCGTATACAGCAGTATACAACTCGTGAGATTGAGGTGGAACTGTTCAGGTACGCAAAAATGAGGAATCACTTATGAACATTTCATCGGCTGATTATGACCATGCCAAGTCAAGCACGGATTAAGCGATATTAAAAGCACAAACGTGTATACATTAATTAATTCATGATTATCTTTCTGCAGCCATTTGCATGGTCTGAGTCTGCGATGGCACCTGAGTCGAAAGACTGGAGAAGTGCTTAAGATCATGGATCGAGGCACCGACTCGATAAATAATCTACTCAACTACATCCTGTTCTCTATCTTGCCTACCATAGTTGATATCCTGATCGCTGTGATCTTTTTTGTAGAAGCGTTCAACAAGTGGTTCGGCCTAATCGTCTTCTTGACAATGACTTTATACATCGGTAAGCCTCACCTAACGATTTGATCTTCTCTTCGGAATTTCTTCCCATATGACGTAAATAATGACGTTCATCCTTTTATCTCCCTCTCTTTTTTTTCTCTCGTTACCTTTCCATAGCTGCAACCATCACTGTCACCGAATGGAGGACGAAGTTTCAGAGGAGAATGAATCTCGCCGATAATGCCCAAAAGGCGCGCAGCGTGGACAGTCTACTTAATTTTGAAACGGTCAAATATTACGGTGCGGAGGCATATGAAGTCCACAGCTACAGAAAGGCCATTCTTAATTTTCAAGTCGAGGAATGGAAATCCATGGTTACGCTGAACATTCTAAACACCATACAGAATGTTATTGTCTGTGGAGGACTTCTCGCTGGATCTCTGCTCTGCTTGCACATGGTAGAGTACTCGGTGTTCATAAGGTGAAGTGAAACATGTCGAGGAACTTGATCGACGCCGGTAAAAAAGATTTTTCTAAATACCTACTTTGCTGATGTTCGTTTTTATATCGACATAATATTTAAACACCAGATAACAGGTAATTTTGTCAAAAATGCAAATTTCTAGTGTCAGGATAATTCGTTGGTGCTCATGAGTCATGTGTCAAAATTTCAGACGGTTCGATCCAATACCCTTAAAAACAAAGTGTCTTATTCGAAGCGACTGATTTGAGGGGGTTTCACTTCACCTTAAGTTAACTTTAGTTCTTTGCAGATTGTGATTTTTTTTTTAAGTGCAACTTCTTTAGAGGCGGTGGGGTAAATTCAATTCATGTGAAGGTTGCGTAATACCAAAATTGAAACATTCATTTGGATAAAGAGAAGACTACTTTCTCTTTTTTAATGTTAAATTGCAATTTCAATTGAAAAAACATTAGCTACTACAGAAGTGTCAGTTCTGTTGCGCAGCTTTCTACGTTAACTTTTTTTTTTTCATTACAATCAATGTTGTATGATTGAATCGCATAAAATCGTACTTTAATTAGACAACTTTCCTGACTCACCCAGTAAATACTTTGCTAATTAAAAAAGATTATGGTTATTATTAATTTTTATTATGGCTAATTAAAAAAGAATTGTCACATTAACTCCTGCTTTTTGTACATAGGTTGTAGCTGGCGAAGGCTTGACCATCGGTGACTACGTACTGTTCGCTGGTTACATTATTCAGTTGTATGTTCCCTTGAATTGGTTTGGAACATACTACAGGTATGTTTAAGCAAATCTCAAATATGGTGTTAGTCGTCTGAGAGTTGAACACCATATTTAATAACTAAACAACTATACATTATTTTCTGCCATACTCCGAACAACTACAAATTATTTCACCAATCTTGTACCATTTTGATTCTATCTTCCTTTAATTGGTTGCAGGGCCATTCAAAAGAACTTTGTTGACATGGAAAATATGTTTGAATTGCTCCGAGAAGAAAAGGAGGTAATCGATGCACCTGGTGCTGGGCCATTAATAGTGAAGCGTGGACATGTTGAGTTTTCCAACGTAACATTCGGCTATACCGCAGACAGAATCGTTCTAAGGAACGTCAGTTTTATAGCTCCGGCAGGAAAGACTATAGCCTTAGTTGGGCCTTCGGGTGCTGGGAAATCAACTATCATCAGGTTGCTCTTCAGGTTCTACGATGTCGAACAAGGTGCCATCTCCATCGATGGACAGAATGTAAAGACGGTCAAACAAGCCTCTCTAAGAAGTGCCATAGGTAATAATATGTTTATAATATTTACTGTTTATACAGGCCTGTTTACATAACCTCTTGCAGTGGGATTTCTCTTATATATATTTATATAAGTCAAATCGTTGGTGAAAATATTCTCCGAATTGGGTGTACCGATTAGTTTCAAATTTTACCATGTGAATATGGTGGCTCTACAGTAGGTCATGAAACTCAGAAAATTTCATTTTTTCATAAGAAATGTATTAATTTATCATGGACTAGAACCAACATGGCGTGGTCCGTTCGCGTTTTTGATATTTTACGCTTCTTGGAAGCTTAAAATCGAAAATGAAGAATTTCAGAACCCTAGCTCGAACAATGTAGTATATCGTAGAAATGGAATATTAAAGAGTCAGATGGGAAAATGTGGAAAATACTTTCACCAACGATTATAAACATACCATGACGTAGTTCTGATTTAGTTATTTCCATGCACTAATTGCGGCGCACTCTTGCAGACCTTTACGACTCCCTTATTTTTTCGAAGCAAATCCCATTGTATGTACATTTTCAAAGCCTTATGCAATCAGGAATCAATTAAAAAAAATATATATTTTTCCATACTTCTAGCCTAGCAAATATCCTTAGTTATTATTAACGCCGTTGTAATTTTGTTTGTTCATTGAACACAGGTGTAGTGCCGCAGGATACTGTGCTCTTCAATAATACTATTAAGTACAATATACAATATGGAAAGATAGATGCTCCAGAGGCTGACATAATCGCAGCTGCCAAGAATGCTGACATCCACGAAAGGATCCTCAGCTTTCCTGATGCATATGAAACTCAGGTAAGAATTACTGACGATAGACAAAGAATTCCGAAGTCTCCATAGAAGCCCAGAAGGATACAGACGCTCGGTGCTCGATAAATAGTACGTTAGCCAACGGATGGCAGCGCTGTAATCGTCTCCCCCATTGGCGATATATAGCGAATTGCATTCTTTATTTATCTTCATCCAATACTCGCCTTTCTATATGCGTCTCTCTTCCTCCCTTATGTGAGATATCGTTGGCTAACACATGCGGTCTTTCTTTTACTCTAACTTCTGGTTTGTTAACCAACTTTTTGAGCATCAAGCGCTAACATAGGATCTGGGCTTCTGTGGGACTTCAGAATCCTTTGGTAGTACCAAATGAATTCAGAAGTCCCCATAGAAGCCCAGAAGGATACGGACGCTCGATGCTCGATAAATAGTACGTTAGCCAACGAATGGCGGCGCTGTAATCATCTCCCCCATCTCTCTTAATCTTATGGCGATATACAGCAAATTAGATTCTTTCTATATCTTTACCCAATACTCGCCTTTATATATGCGTCTCTCTTCCTCCCGTATGTGAGATATCGTTGGCTAACACATGCGGTCTCTCTTTTACCCTAACTTCTGGTTTGTTAACCAACTTTTAGAGCATCAAGCGCTAACATAGGATCTGGGCATCTATGTGACTTCTGAATCCTTTGGTAGTACTAAATGAATTCAGAAGTTCCCATAAAAGCCCAGAAGGATACAGACATTCGATGCTCGATAAATAGTACGTTAGCCAACGGATGGCGGCGCTGTAATCGTCTCCCTCATTGGCGATATATAGCGAATTGCATTCTTTATTTATCTTACACACAATACTCGCCTTTCTATATGCGTCTCTCTTCCTCCCTTATGTGAGATATCGTTGGCTAACACATGCGGTCTCTCTTTCACTCTAACTTCTGGTTTGTTAACCAACTTTTATAGCATCAAGCGCTAACATAGGATCTGGGCTTCTATGGGACTTCTGAATTCTTTGCGGTAGATCATCGAGTTACGATACTCAGAATTACATAATACCAAATTATTTCCACCTCCTAGGTTGGAGAAAGAGGTCTTAGGCTCAGCGGAGGAGAGAAGCAAAGAGTTGCCATAGCCCGAACCATGCTCAAGGCTCCGAAGATAGTTCTCCTCGACGAAGCCACCAGTGCTCTCGATACGCAGACCGAAAGAAACATTCAGGCAGCGTTGAACCGAGTCTGCGCAAATCGCACCACCATAATCGTTGCGCACAGGTTGTCCACCATAATTCACGCGGACGAGATTCTCGTTCTGAAGGAGGGTGAAATTGTTGAGAGGGGCAGACACGAAGAGCTCATTTCGCAGCAAGGAATCTACCATGGCATGTGGCAGGCACAGCTGCAGAACGACCAGGATAACTCTTCGCCAGGACCTGCGAATACCATCAACAGCAGGGAGGATGTACTAACTGAGGACAAAAACACTTCCTAGCGAGCCATTGATCTACCAACAGTTGCATCCTCCCATTAGGCACTGCATTGTTCCACTGATCGGACTACTTTGGGGCTAAATATAACATGCCCCATTGTCTGCGACTTTAATGCTCTCTGCTGAGAAAATTATGAACTCACTGATCTATGTATTAATGCCGGAGGTTCCCTCAGTGCATCGAGTGTTATACAGGGCCCGTCGACACATTAAGGTGAAGTGAAACACGTCGAGGAACTTGATCGACGTCGGTGAAAAAGATTCTTCTAAACACCTACGTTGCCGACGTTCGTTTTTATATCGACAGCTGTGTCGAATTATAGCGGGTATTGTACTAAATGGCATACTCCACCTGTCCTTTTCGTACAATAATTATAAAGAAATCTTAGTTAAACCCCAGAAATCATATGGATTCATGGTTTCTGAGGCCCCAAGTGACTGCAGAGGGAGTCCCTACGCCATCTGTGATTTCCGAGTCAACTAAATTTTCACTCCGAGACCTCGTATTACCATCGTTTTAGCATAGAAGCGCGTAAGACAGATTTTTTACCTCTATCTCGTTAAAATGCGAGTTTCTCAATTACCAGAGTATTCTAAATCGTCGTGCAATTATCCCGACACTTTCGTTTCTCGTATTAGAGCCCTCAAAAATTGTATATTGATCGAAATATGAGAGCTCGACGCAATTTTGGATCTGGCCTGTGCTAAGTTAAAGTAAATTTGGTCAAAAATCCAAATTTCTAGTGTCAGGATAATTCCTCGGTGCTCACGAGTCATGTGTCAATAATTTGGATGATTCGTTCAAATTTCCTTAGAAAAAGGAAAGTGTCTTATTCGGACCGACCGATTTAAGGGAGGTTTCACTTCACCTTAAACGTCGCAGGCAACAGAGTGCAGCTAATTCGAGTCCTACCAATTAATTCACCTGATTGGCTATTTTTTTTTTTTTTTTATGATTACAGGTAAATTATGCACCGTAGAGAAAAATTGTACAGGACTTCTCGACTCCATTTTCGACAAGAATAGCAATGTATAAACCGTTGCCAGGAATTCTGTTACGTTCTTTATAGATCAATGGGTGAACTCTGAACCCTAAACTAAGATGAACCCTGTAGATGGCTCATAGAGTGAACCGAAAGAATAATCCTGGTGATTAATGCACCACGATCAACCGTGAGATTTTCTCTATGAGGGACGGGGCTTTATTTATTTCGTAATCCTAATCGCAAAATCGCTCTGAGGATTTTTGCGATCGTCGAACGTCGTAAGAGAAGTAGCTCTTAGTTCTTGGATGCTGTAGTTGAATACTTGCTGTAGCATATCCATCTTAAATCGTTCGTTTGTAGGAAATTCTAAATAAATTACAACTATATTATTAATCTGTCGATAGTTTTTCGTTACTTTGGTGACCGCATCATTTTACTCCAGACACGCGTTAGTCACGGGACAACCCAGTATTCTTTTGCGTATATCATTCTGAATAAATTACATTTATATTAATAATTTGTTGCCGGTCGTTTCTTAATGAAGTATTGGAATGACAAAGCTTTGATTGGACTCTAAGCGGTTGTACAAATATTTTCGTATGGTCCTTTTATTCGTGTCCGACGTAACGTCCTAGAGCGCCATCTGCAACCCAACCGGAGCCGTCTACTGGATGCACGACCGTTGCTTGATTTTCGCCCCAATTAAAGTAATAACTTGCGAAGAACACCCAACCAACGTTCCAAAGTATCTGGTAAGAACAGAGGGTGGAATTGCCTCAGAATTGAGGAACGTAAGATGATATGAAAGGTGCTGAGTAATTTAATCAACGTCGATAAATTAAAATTCATCTGTACCCTTTTTGGTGGTAACGCCATCTTAAATACTCAAGAGGTGACATAAGCTGGCGCGTCCCGTTACCGACATTTATATTTATGTTCAAGTCTTTTACAGTCTACGTTGATAATTATACGAACTGAAGCATCCCTTATGTCATTTCAGTCAAGTAATGATGAAGAGATCGATGTAAAACTGTCGAAATCCCGGGAATTCATCATTCTAACGACTGTTTAGGACCAACGTCGCCATCTGTGACGTTTAGCTGCAACCAAATTTTTCCTCTAAAAACCCGCGTCAGCTCCGGGACGAGCCAGCATTCTCTTGCAATCGTTGGTGAAAGTATTTTCCATATTTTCCCATCAGATTCTGTAATATTGCATTTCTACGGTATTCTATGTTATTCGAGCTTGTTCCTGAAACTCTTCATTCTCGATTCTAAGCCTCCAAGAAGCGTAAAACATCGAAAACGTGCCTGGACCACGCCATGGTGATTCTAGTCCATGATAAGTATAAATATCGAAAGCTCCGATATGAGAAACGAAAGGGTCAGGACAATTTCACGACAATTTAGAACACTCTGGTAATCGATAAACTCGCATTTGAACTGTATAAAGGCAAAAAAAAGTGTCTTACGCGCTTCTATGCTAAAACGATTGTAATACGAGGTCTCAAAGTGAAAATTAAGTTGACCTGGAAATCACAGATGGTGCAAGGGGTCCCTTTGCAGTTAATTAGGGCTTCAGAAACCATTAATCCATAGAATTTCTGGGGTTTAACTTAGATTCCTTTATAGTTAATGTACGAAAACGACAGGTGGAGTATGTCATTTAGTACAATACCCAATATAATTCGACACAGCTGTCGATATAAAAACCAACGTAGGTATTTAGAAGAATCCTCTTTATCGACGTCGATTAAGTTCCTCGACGTGTTTCACTTCACCTTAAACGGAAGTGTAGAGCCTTCATTGTTGGCCATGGTGAAGGACCCAAGTGGTAGTCGATGCTTTAATCTATGAATTTAATAAGAAATGTTTTAAGTATCCGTTAGCACTTACTAGGAATTGATTTCATTTTGTAACGAAACATAGAAACATTCGCCATTCCTTTTGCAAAGTCTTTTGCAACTGGAATTTTTTTTTTTACTTCTACATTTATATCTAAATATCCATACCGTGTAATTCTTTTCTTCGGATTTGTTTCGACAAGAACTTGTATGCCTCTGCGTTAATGTCTTGAATCTCTTCTAATTCCATCCAGTACTAATTGCGACCATTGATTTCCGGTGACTGTATCTTCCGGATTTATTTTGCAATTGCGCCGTGGTTTTTTGCAACTAATGTAAATTGCAAAGATAATCCAAATACTGGCAGCAAACACTCGCGACAATTGGACTGCCATGTACGTAAAAAATTACATGGCACAATGTTTATATTCCGTTTATGGAGAATATTTTCCGATTAAGGATTATCAAAATAAGTTTAAAAGTTTCCCTTTTAATCTAAACATTGCCAAACTATCCGCCGGCGGAATTACCCGTGACAGGGATTGACAGCAATTGACAGTAATCGTTTCTATGTTAAACCAGGTATACAGGGTGTCTCATATCCGTATATTTCATATGTTTCATATGTATGAAACATTAATATTAATATGTAAATACGGAAATATTTTAAGGAACATTGAATTAATTTCGCGCTTGTATTCAAAATTGTTTAGAAATTCAATATGGCGGATTCCACAGATGCATGATATATGTATTCGGATGATTAACGTCTTTTAACGCACATGTAAATATGTAAAAATTGTTACGGAATGATTAATCTAGCGCTTGTGTTTAATATTCTTTCGATTCAACCCAGTTTAATATAAAATTTCTCCCTGGATTTATTATTTTATATTTAGAAATAGAAGGTCGTAATATACTTTACGCTATCGTAGAAAACTAAGGATGTACTTTACGTTGTAATATACACGTAGAAAATCACGTATATTACATGACGTATTATACTTACCCAACCCTGGTTTTACCCGGTCAAGGGCTTTTCATGATTTTTTTCCTAATCTCTACGGTCGGACCACTTACCTGCCCCACTTTTCATCAACCGAAGGCCCGTCCCTTCCCGAGGACTTTTAAACCACCAGTCTCCTTACCTCCTTCATTCATGGAGTCAATTCTATTACTCGAGTCTAGTGAAAATGCTGAAAGTGGGCACCTCCTACGATTCTGTACCTTTCACTGTGGTGAAAATGTGAGAAACTTCGAATGAAACTAGTCGACGAAATCTCAAACCGAGTTCTTTCAGTTTCGAGATTTCACATTTTCACTCGGCAGATATAGAATCAGATAAATCAATTCTCGCGGTATGACAGTACGAGAAATGAGCACTTTCACCAAAAATACAGAATCGACCCCCTGTTTCTGTAAAACTCATTTTTATAGATAATGGCGCAACCAAGCGTCGCAGATCGAAACTACTTTCGATACCATGTATTTTAACAAAGCATTGAGCTTCTAGGAGGCGTCGGAATTCATCGCTTCTGATTGCGAGTTAACCTTAACAAGGTTTTAAATAGTATAGAGTGATTAACCGTCAAACAGTGTTATTAGACGTATTTATGACGGAAAATGTATCTGAAGCTAGCATGGATACTTACGAGGTAATGTATTAATATTAACCCGTTAAAATATTACATCTTTAGGAATTTGAGGTTATAATGTAATAGCAAATACATTTTATTCATGCTTTTCTTAATTTATAGAATCTTGAGCTCAAGCCGCTAGAACAACTAACGATTAAGGTTAAAACTGAGGGAGTTACTCAGCAAGTGCCGGCATTGGTAAGAATTTCTTGATCTTTGAAGGTTACATCTAAGGTTGCGCCCTAACGATCCATGTAGCGGAGATAATATGAACATGCATTTACAGAGCGAACATTGGGTGGTAGAGCGGCGATACTTGCAATATGTTGTCCCTAAAATTAAAGATGCTAATGGTATGGAAATCGTGGGTGCCAAAGAGTATTGGTTGGAGCTTGTCGAGTTTATAACATTGGATCTTAAGTGGCTACTAGGGCTTCCATTTTATAAGTGAGTCTTTGTAACCATGAGTTTCATATAAAATATGAACTGCCTTTTTTTTGTACATGTTCTTCTTGAACGATGAAATGAAACGTTTGCATGTTTTCAGTAACGTCTCATTTTAAAATTCAACGTGATTCTCTTACCTTCCATCGAACAGGTTTTGGTCGAATGTAGTATATAATTCAAAGATAGTGAATATGCTGGTTTCATTTTTACAAGAAGCTCCACCATTCTACGTTCTTGATGACTTTCCTGATAACAAGGAGATGCGGCAAGCATTGGATGTACTGCGGCGCTTTGTCCTAGTGACGTTTGCTCGTCTTGTTACAAATAAGGAAAGCACAACCGAGTTTATGACTCGCGAGCACCATGGACATTTATTATATGATAATTATATATTTACAATACCAATAATGCTGGATCTATGCCAGCTCTATGGACGGGAAAATTCCAAAATAGTGGAAAGGATCCTTAAGAGTGTATTCAAACTGCAGCCTCTATACAACGATGATCTTAGGAGAACTATTCCCTTCCTCGTTGATGTGAGTAAATGAATTCTGAACACTACTTCCCTCAATTTAGATTTTGAATCTTGAAATTAAGTATCAAAATATTTAATTGCGGAAAATTTGTTTAGCAAGAATTGTGTGTGTGCGAAGTAATATATTACTTCATAATTCGTACAAGTAATATAATCATTTCTTAGAATTTCAAATTGAAATATTCAGTTAAGAATTTTTTTAACGTGAGATTAGTGACAGTAACTGTAATAAGTATGAAATACAGTGTAACAAAACTTTCAGGTGCTGCGAAATATTGAACAAAGATTTGAAGACCGTCCAGTGCCATTAGCTGGAGAAGTGGTTTCTCTAGCAGAACGAGGTTGCGGCTCTATCGACATCACATTGCCAGTTCTTGAGGACCTAATACTGCATCTACTAGATATCTCTTCAAACATTGCAGTATTTCTTGAGAACTATCCTTCTGCCTCCATTACCTTCCATTCACATGACTTTCTAAATAAGTTTGTACTAATTTTTTTATATTTTGATCAAGAGTTTGATGACTTAAAATTTCGTCCTTACTTTTAAGCAATGATTTTCAATATTCCAGGGTTGTTTCAGTTTACAGTTACACAATACCTGAAATGTACAAAAAATTGGAACATGTCGCGTACAAAGACGAGACAATGGGAAGGTACGCCGAGGCAAAGCACCGACTCGATGTAACCAGAGTAGAATTCTTGCAGCTCTATCGAACCATCATTTACAAGCCTATAATGGACATTTTAGAAAAATCGTAAGAAGTTCGGAATGTAATAGCTTTAAAAAATTGTTTACGTTTAAAATAACTCTCATTTTTATTACTTCAGAAGTACGTTGACCGAGGAGGAAAAAAAAGCATATGTTGATGACTACTTAAATATTCTTACTCATGCATTATCAGAGAAAGAATTTATCATCGACTATCAGAGATACTATCCTATCGACTTTGACCTTGAAGTTCTTATGCAAATCTCCTCCGAAGTGTATCCTTAATTTCTCGATCAAGTAGCTATTTAAATCACCAAGGAACTAATTTGTTTATGCCAACAAAATTTTGTATATTCTTTTCTCCTTGACTTACTAATCTTTAGTGATGCAATGAAGCGGGACTTCATTCTACAGTCAATGTATGCCATTTCGGAGGAGCCAATAGGGGGACCACGAAATGTCTCACCAGCATGTGCTGCGACTGTACGCTTGCAATTTCCTTTTTAGTCATTATTTAACACACGAATCATTTATTAATCCTATTTTTCACACCTTGGGAAATTATTTTCAAACTACCTTAATAGTTTTGTATCGTATCGATAGAAGCCAGCGACCCATTGTAAGCAGCTTATCATCTATTTCTTATTAACTTTTAGGCGATAAGAAATGAGCACAATCCTGTTGATGAATGTATGCCTTCGACAAGTGATGATTCGTCTAACAAGCCGAAGTCTACAAAAGCTGGAGTCGAGCTGGCCTCTCTCATATCTGAAGTAAAAGACATCTTGTGCAACCTTGGCGAAGGCTTCATTGAAGTAAATATCTTTGGGGGGAACTACGAAACTACGAGTCTCCTCGTATTGTTACTTTAATGTTCATTTTCAGAGATGTCTTAAGTACTACAACTACGACAGTGCTGCAGTAGTGAATGCAGTGTTAGAGGACTCTCTTCCAGCGGAGTTGAAATTAATCGATCGAACCTTGCCATCGATCCCTTCGGATCCAATGGTAGCATTTTACTTACAAGTTTGAAAAACTGATAATTCTTAACATTTTTCACATAACTAAGGTAAACGATAATACTCTTTGAAGGAAGCATCAGCTGCAGTGGACCTAGCCATCGGTATGCAGCGTCTAAACGTCTTTGACAACGATGAGTTTGATATCATGACCAGAGATGTTATCGATACGACTCGAGTACACAAAGGTAAAAGGTAAGTAAATCTACTAATGATTTAAATCCCAAAGAATGGATATAACTACGTTTTTGTCGATTATAATCGTGGTTCAATTATCTGTTCAGGAAAGAGAAGCACAAAAATCTAAACGAAATGTTGAACGACAAGTCATTCAAGAAAGACGTGGGTGACTTCTATTCGAAGTTCAGTGTCATCGATGACTATGATGATGAGTACGATGATACTTATGACAGACACGATGTTGGACTAAGTGGAAGGGATGATCCCGTAGAGATGGATGCAAGACTGTTTACAACTTCTAGAGTTAGTACTATTGTAAAGATAACCTCAATATAATATTTGTGATAAGTATAAAAGTATCAATAGGGATTTTCTGTAACGCAGCAGGATTCAGACTCCATCGATGTGAAAACGCTTCCTAATAACGGTGAAACTGCTCAAAACAATAAGGACCACTTTATCGAGAACCCAGCAGATGTTAGAGCCAGAGCGGAAGAAAGGAGGTTGTCCAAGAGAGGTGGCAGGGGAACACAATCTAAAGATACCGTTGGTAAGAACAACAAAGAAACTTAAACTCCTTTTCTTATTAACAGCCATTGTTTCCAATATTTAACATATAAACATATACATTTGCTAAAGCAAGCTCATTGGATAACAGTAAAACCTGTTTAATACATTGTTTTTGATTTATGAGATTGCTAACGCATCTATCTTGGAATTACCAAAAATATATAATAATTTATAATACTCTAATAACAAAGTAGGTAAAATAATTGTATGAAATGTGACGATAGCGCTTTGCATGTATTTGGGAACTGCGTTCTCTTCCAGGGGAGGGGAATTTCTGTTCGAGTTGAAAACATGATTACGTACGATATATAATTGCTTATCCTAAGTAGGTGCAGAATATTTCAACATATTTAGAGTATGGAATTGTAGTAAAACTTGAAAAAATATGGCTTTGTTTCAGGCAAGCCAAGAGGTCAAGGCCAGGACAAAACCGTTCTGGCTAATCGAGAGGAGAAGAATATTAAAAAAGCTACGAGAGCAAATCACAATCGACGAGCAGGAGCAGAATGGAAACGTCGGGGGGGCATGATTCCCTCGTAAAGACAGCCGTCATTATATCATCGACTTCGTTTCCGAGCCATTCGTTTCTGTGGTCTAACTTTGGGTCCCAATTTGCAACATTAGTATTTATTTACAAATAAAATTGATTCACCTCGCAGTTCCTAGTTACGTGAAGTAATTCATAAGTTCTTCCGCAACTTGAATTAATTTGGGACATCATCGAAGAGACAGTTCCTGCTAGGGTGTGCCAAACGGAAATGTCTTATTTGTTTATATAAGGAAAACATTACTTGTTATTGTATAGAAATTATATCACTATATTGCTTATTGTATCAAATTCGTCAAAAATGCGGTAAATGTAGTTACTTGGTGTAGTATCGGATGTAAGATCTTGTTATTCCATTAAAAGTTTAAATAATTCGTAGAAAGTAATAATGGGGCAAGTCAAGTTTTGGCACACCCTTGATCTCTTCTCTTTTTCATTAATCTCTCTGATCACTTAATCGTCTTTTACTATCGTTAGCCCACGGATACGATTAAACTGCTCGGTAATCTTTTTTTGGTACTCATCGTCGTTTGTTGAAATCCTTTCCGGTGAACTCGAGGATTTCTGGGACATCAGTTGAGCAAACAGTTCCATTGTGCTACCATAATAGTTTAATTGAATCATGATAAATGCGTGAATGCTAGGTTCAATGTACTCCAACCTTTTGTCAAGAAAGGCTGGGAAATCGATAAGTAGCTGTGAATGGCAATTTTTTAATTCCTTTGCTGCTGCTTCTTCGATTCTTCGCTCCCGTTCCACTTTGGCAATGTGACTAGCTGTTCGGTCTTTCCTTTCTTGAAGTTTTTTTAGACGATTGTAAGTGCACTTCCAGGTAGCTACGAGTTCCTCTCTTTTAGCAAGTGCTTCGGCAATAATAGCAAATAAGTCTCGTAGTTTCTTCAGAGGTTCGATAAATGTCTTTTGGCAGAGAGCCATTGTTTCCTGAACATTTTTTCCAACCTGCATAAAGCAAACTGTCACTATTATGTTAATGAAATAATCGTCGACAAAGTGTCAGCTACCTGTGTTGTGACAGAATGGTACTCCTCGACTATTTTCCTAAATTCATCGTTTGTATGAGCCAAATCGCACGTGCTAAGATTAGCACTTAGACGTTGATCGGCTCGATCAAGGTTGTCCATTGATTCCAGGTACCGCTTCGTCTCCTTTGTGAGTTTTCTCACCGTCTCTTCGATACTGTTATACAACAGACAGAGATTAATACAATTTATTCTTAAATCTTATAAAAACCATAGACATTTTTACAGAATCGGATCAAGTCAAACTTAAAAGAATTCGTAACAATAGACATGATACGTATTCTTATCTATGATTTCTGATACGCGTTATGTGAATAATTGGTTATATTAAATCATAAAGAACAATCGTATTACTGCATGAGTCTCTGCACAATGACATCCAATTCTCTGTCCTCGGCATGGGAAAGGAGCGGCGGGGCAGGAGTGGGTCGCTGTGTTAAGTGACTTTTCTTCAACAAATTCCTGTTGTCAAAAAATCCCACTCTCTTAGTTGATTATTGCATTATCATATTATTACATTCTTTACATTTTAAACGTTTCCCATATCGTTTATAGGTTAACGGGTAAATTTGAATCAAAAGAAATTTTCTTGAAATACATACCACGCCATTTTACCTTTGCTGGACACTGCTTTATCATAATAGTTATGAAATTATATCAATCAAAGTGCCATTTCAAATTTCAGTGCTATAATATCTGAAAACGACACATAACCTTTATCACTTTCATGGTCTGATATTCTCTATTTCTCTTTTTGCCAGTGTTACCACCGTCGCGATCATGGTGGGGTAATTTTGCGTTTTTCGAGGTTATTTTGATCAGAGCGTTTATTACGTATTTTTGACGAGAGCGCTCACTTCTCACACTTTCATCTCACGTGGATTTATTCGCCGAATTATCTATTCGCTGCATGAAAGAACGAGATTACTAGCACTTTCGATCTGGTAATACTGCTAAACAAAGATACATACCTTGTAAATCGAAAATTGTTGAGATGGGAGTTATAAGCAAGAAAGGCAAGAAGATGGAAAGCCGTTAAAAGTAAAGAGGACTCGAGTCTATCTATATTTTTTAAATATTTATTACATTCATATTTACATGTACTATAATTAAAATGTAAAAATGGTTAATGAACGATTACACTGGCGCTTGTGTTTAAAATTCTTTCGATTTAATCCAGTTTAATATCAAATTTCTCCCTGGATTTATTATTTTATATTTAGAAATAGAAGGGCGTAATATACTTCGCGCTCACGTAGAAAACTAGAGATGTATTATAAGTTGTAATATACACGGAGAAAACCACGTATATTACATAACGTATTATACTTACTTAACCTGATCAGGTGCATAAATTCACGTGAGAAGAAAGTGCCATAAGTGAGCACTCTCATCAAAGATACTTAATAGACGCACATGCGCGGTTCCACGACTTTGGTTAACCGAAGTTTAACTAGTTTATGCGTGATTTAAACATGCTGTAAACCCCTTAAACTACGATCAACTCTGGTTATGGAACCGGGCCTCAATCTAAACTTTTACATATGTACAAATCGCGACACGACATTAACTACGTTTCCATCGCGCTTCTAAATCCGAGACTTATCGTGTCCGGTAAGTCACACGTCTCCATCGCATTAATAAATACGCAGATTCGATTATGAGCATCTCGATCGATACTTAAACTCGGATTTACGGGTTTAGACCCTATAAATCCCGGATTGGACGATGGAAACGTAGTCAATAGCGGAATCGAATATCCAAGCTTCGGATAGGTCGTCTCGAATCTCGATCGACCAATCCGGAGAGACCTATCGCAGCGCCACATGGTCTCGAATCGCGCTAATGTGAAACACCTGTCGAGACGTAACAGGCCGATGTTTTTCGTTGGAGTAATCGCACGTTGTTTATCCGCCATTTTGTTTGACTGCCGTACGCGCAGTTTTCGGTGGCACCGTGGCCTATTTTAACGATGAGTCGCGATCGCTGAAGGACTGCCGCGGAGTTCTCTGAGAACCTGTCCATTCCTCGCGACGCAGTTGGTGCGCGGTGAAGCATGTGAGTCTCGGCTCGGGAGTTCCTCCCTTCCGTCGCCGGGCGGGTATCCGTAATGACAATCCGTGACAAGTCGCGCCGTCCTACGAGCTAGCTTTCCTCGAGGCCAAATGGCGCCAGCCAGATAATAACACGGTCGATCTAGTGCTCCGGAACGACCCGGGACGCCACGTAAGCCACGTAAGCAACCTTGAGCCACCTTCGAACCTTCGAGCCCTTTCACGGCAGTTGTCCATTACGCGGGTTCTCACTTTCCTAATTCGTCCGACCTCGGCTTATCTCACGACCCACTTTTCTTAATTAACGCATCATGATTTCGTGTACTGTGATTAACTGCGGCACAGACACGAGTCTCACACAGGTTTGATTATTCTTTTTAGTGTAATTGTTAAATATCATCGATGTCCCTTCTGCGATAAGGGTGACTTGCGTAGTCTTCCGTTGAAAACGATGATAAATTTCATTGATGTCCCTTCTGCGTTAAGGGTGGTTTGTATAATCATCCGTTGATAGCAATACTAAATATCATCGATGTCCCTTTTACGATAAGGGTGATTTGCGTAGTCTTCCGTGCGTAGCGATGATAAGTATCATCGATGTCCCTTTTGCATTAAGGGTGGTTTGCGTAGTATTCCATTGATAGCGATGCTAAATATCATCGATATCCCTTTTACGATAAGGGTGATTTGCGTAGTTTTCCGTTCGTAGCAGTGCTAAATACCATCGATGTCCCTTTTGCGTTAAGGGTGGTTTGCGTAGTCATCCATTGATAGCGATGCTAAATATTATCGATGTCCCTTTTACGATAAAGGTGATTTGCGTAGTCTTTGATAGCGAGGGTTAGTTGTCAACTACCAATGTGTTTTACCTTAGGGTTCAGATATTGTTTCCCATTGAGTAACGCATTTGATACGAGAAGTCGTTTATTGTGTAATGCGTTTGAAGTGTTTTGCTGTAAGATTTTTTTTTTTTTTTTATGAACGATTGAGTAGGGAGACGTTGCATGAAAAAGTTTTGCTTATAACGTTGCGCTCCTTGTAACCAAATGGTGACTATTATACGATACAATTAATTAATCCGTAGAAGCTGTGTAAGGATGTTTGGTTTGATGTGCTTAATTACTCTCCGTGAAACGGTTAATATATACACATATCTTCTGTTTTAAAAAGTTGCTTACACAAATATTACATATCAGTGGATTATTTAAATAATTCAATTTGAAATATATATTTATTTGTTTGGTTCGGTTAAAGGAACTAATTGTAGATGTAAATTACAGTAATTTAAACAACATGGAATAGAACTTTTGGTCCGTTTCAGAATGTCGGGACAGAGCGGTGGTCATCGGCTGCGTTTGTCAAAACTGAACGAGCAATTGACGTGCAAGCTCTGTGGAGGATACTTTGTCGATGCTACTACGATTATCGAGTGCTTGCATTCATGTATGTTGTGGCAATATCTTTGTATTAATTACAGATCGCTGTAATCGTTCCCCCCTGACACTCTAACCTAACTTTTTTTCCCACAGTTTGCCGTAGTTGCATCGTAAAATACTTGGAAACAAATAAATACTGTCCGATATGTGAAGTTCAGGTTCACAAAAGTAAACCACTCATCAATATTAGACCGGATCATACCTTGCAGGATATTGTGTACAAATTGGTACCAGGATGCTATCAAAGTAAGTTATCGTCACTGCTTTCGATCGATATATCCAATTCTTTATTAATTTATGTGTGTATCTTCTAGATGAAATGCGTCGACGGAGGGAATTCTATGCAAAGCATCCAGAAGTAAAATCTTCTACAATGACGCCAGAATCTCGTGGGGAGCCTACCGAGTCACATATTTACTCGCCTGATGAATCTCTAAGCCTGTCTTTGGAGTATTATAGCCCAGAGACTGAAAGCGAAGCAGAGGATTGCAAAGATTCCCATTCGCTGCCTAGGAGATATCTTCGTTGTCCTGCAGCAGTAACGGTCTTTCATCTTCAAAAGTTGATTCGAGCCAAATATGGTCTCACCGAGGCACACCGAGTCGATGTCATGTACCACGAGGAACCGCTATGTAGTAGTTACTCATTGATGGACATTATGTATATCTACCATTGGAGGCGGGTAAGTTCAACAACGTATTACTACAATTCATCGTTTAAACTTAACATGGACGAGTATTCTGTAAATAATCAATTTAATGTATCGCTTCACCATGACCTTACGTTATTATCTTAACCTCTTAAGATCTGAAATGATCATTATAGTATTTAATTATTTCATCAATCTTAATAATTTTTTAATCATGTCCCCCAGAAAGTACCGCTGCACTTGGGCTACAGGATATTCGAGTCTTCACCAAAGCGTTTGAAGTTGTCCGATGACAATACGGACTTTAAGCAGTCTTTGTCGAGTGTTGGTATCAGCACGGTAGAGTCCAAGGATGAGCAGTCAAGTCGACGGGAGTGGAAAGAAGTGCAGTTGAAGATATCAGAAACCGGTGTGATGAGTGTCACCGACATATCCAGTCCAGAGTCGAAGAAGAGTAGTACAAAACCTGAGGAGGGTAATTCGGAGAAGGGTGCAGATGAGACACTCTCTTCGGAGGCTGTAAATACCTGTAACGTAGTTCTAAAAGAAGAGGGGAAGACTACGAAGCCAATCAGCAGTGCAGGGAACTCATCGAAGAACCATGCCGAGGGTGCCAAAAGCAACGACCAACTTCCGGCTGGTCAGGAAGGGAAAATTGACAAAGGAAGTGCGTGTTCTCGGAACGACGGTCAGTCCAGTTCGTCGAGTATGGCGGAGGAACCGAAAAAGCCGAAATTAGATACGGAGAAGTGTCCTACTCCGTCGATTGGCTCAGAATCCGTAGCACCAATCGAGCCTGAGAAGCACGATGGCAAAAGTACTTCGACCGACACTCGGAAGTCCATCGGTAGTTCTAATTTGAAAACGGAGGAAAAGAGCGATGTGGAGACGCTGCCGTGCGAAAAGAAAACCGCTAAGTCGAAGCTCTTAACGACGAATAATAATATCGTAACCGTTGATTCGCAGAAGCTGGAGGCCTCGAAGCAATCCGCAAAGGGTCCATCCGAAACGAAGGGTCCACCGTCTGCTGGATCGAAAATCGATGCACTCAGTACCAAGCTACAGTGCCAGCTGAAACTTGGCCCAGTTAATAACACGTACTCTAAGAAGCTCCCGAAGGAGAAGAAGGTCTCCAATTCCGGGTCCAAGAAGGTCGATGGGAAGATCCCGGTGGAACCCACCAAGGGAGAGACGTTGGTCACGGTGGAGTCCGTCAGTGTCACCAAAACTCGGGCCAACTGTGGAGTACCAGCTCCTGTTAAGAGCTCGGCATCGGAGGCGACTCCTAAAGTCCTGTCAGTGGCGGTCTCTGCACCTAGTGGACCCACGGTGACCTCCCACACGAGCACCCTCGTGTCCTCCTCGCCATCGGCTACCTACGTAACCGCGCCTTCTGTCTCCGTTGCGAACGGACAGAGTACCTCTAGTAGCCATCTCCAGAGTCTAGCTCAGGGTCTGCCTCAAGGTCTACCTCAAGGTCTGCCCCAGGGTATGCCTCAGAGCCTTCCGCCGAGCATCCCCCAGGTTCTGTCTCAGAATCTGAGCAGTCCCAGCCATCGGTGTCCTCGCAGCGAGCCCTCCTCGATGGAGCCCCAGAAGTCGAGCAGCACTTCATCCTCGAAGCCTACCTTGACCAGGTCCACCGGCAACATCGGCAACCTGACTCCCTCCAGCGAAAGCTTGGCTTCGATAGGACTCAACGTCTCCACGGCCATGTTGAGTCTTAGCCAGGTTACGAGCGCTACTTTTCCTTACACTGTGCAGGACCTGGTGAGCTCGGGGATGCCCCGAAGCCCCGTCGCAAAAGGTCCTGCGAAGGTACCTTCGAAGGCGCTCTCGAAGAGCAGCGCCTCCGCGAGCTCTCCCACCTCGTGCAACCAGTTCCCGATGCAGCCCGCTTCGATGAGCGTTTATTCGGTGTCCAAGAGCAGCAATCCTTACCCAATAAGTACGCAGAGTTCGGTTTGTACCTCGGTAAAGCCATCGGCAGGGAGCAAGAGTGGCTTCGACACCGCTGCTGGGGTGTATTCCGTGCCACCGTGTCCCGACGCGATTCCCATCTCCTTGGTGAAGCCCATGGTCCGGAAGCACGAGCTCATTGCCAAGGGGACCAACCTTAACGAGATATGCGCGAAAATCGGAAACAGCGGCTCCAAGATAAACGACATCTGCGCGAAGATCGGGGAGAGCTCCAAAGAGAAGAACAAATCGGAGACCAGGGTCAGGTCGGAGATCCCGGACCTGCTGAAGATCGCGAAGAGGAGGCCCTCCTCGGAGGCGCCGATCAAGCACGTGCCGAACATCCCTAACGTGCCGATATACACGCCGAGTAACAGCCTCTCCTCCGAGAGCAAGAACACCTACGGCGGGAAGGAGGCGGTCTCGAAGAGTCACCACGCGACCTCGTCCGCGACGTCCGTTGCGACCTCCTCGCACTCGGTCCAGAAGATCCCCACGATGAAGAAGCAGTCCCAGCCCGTTGGGTACAAGACTCTGCGAGACCCCCCGAAGTCCTGGAACCCCACCCTCTCGAAGAACAACTTCGTCGCCTCCAGGAACCAGATCAAGGACGTCCCGAGCCAGTCGTCGTCCTCCAGCGAGCAAGGGGCGAACCCGAAGCCGATAGCCTCGAAGCCGGCGAAGATCTTCAAGATGAGGAACACGCTACGGTTCCTGGGGAACCCGGCCTCGGGGGTGAAGCCGATGTACGGCTGCGGGGCCACCGAGGCCAAGGAGAAGGAGCAGCCCTCCCAGCAGCCCTCTAAGGGCGGCACCACGATGAGCATGATGAAGATCGACCCCAAGACCCTGACCCCGATCGTCTCCTCCTCGAGCTCCCCCATAGCCCCGCCGCCCCCGTACTCCCCGAACGCCCGGACCTACCAGAACAGCCCCTACCCCAGGGAGATCTGCCGGAACACCGGCTCGCCGATCTCCCTGAGGAACTCCCCGGTGAACATGCTCTCGACGAACCCCTTCATCCCCTCCGCGACCCCGAACACGAACCCCAGGTTGATCTACACCCACTTCCCGCCGCCGTTCCCGGACGCCAGCAGGCTGCCGAACCCCCTGATCAGGTCGCCCCTGGGCATCCCGCCACCCAGTGCCTTCCACAACAGCCTGCCGCCCTCGATCAACCAGCTCTACCAGAGGTCGAGCTACGTGCCCCAGACGACGGGCTACGCGGCGGCCTCCGCGCAGCCCCCGGCCGTCCAGCGGATACCGGCCAGCAGCCCGCACTCCTCCTCGTCGGCCCCTAAGTCGCCGAAGGGCTCCCCGAGGAGCTCCCCGAAGAGCTCCCCGAAGAGCTCCCCTCTCCCCGGCAAGCCGGAGACCCAGACCTCGGTCTCCGCCTCGTCGACCTCCTCGACCTCCCCGGCCGCCTCCTCGGCGTCCTCGGTCTCCGTCGAGAGCGTGGCTCTCCAGCTGGCCAAGGGCCTCTCCAAGCACCAGGAACAGAACGCCTTCAACCTCTCCAAGAATCCGGACCAGAAGGCGCCGATCTCCGAGGCCGGCCAGGCCAAGCCGCCGACCTCGACGCCGACCTCGGCGCCGACCTCGACCCCGAGGACCACCGCGACGTCGACCGGCCCGAAGACTTCCTCGACCTCGACGGTCCCGGCGACCTCGGTCACCCCCGCGGCCCCCTCGACGGCCGCCCCCACGACTTCCACGACGAGCAGCACCGCGCCGACCTCGACCGCGGCCTCGGAGAGGTCCAAGACCTCCGAGCCCGCCAAGGAGGAGGCAAAGGTCGAGGGTGGGAAGGAGGCCGAGAACCAGGACACGGTGCAATCGGGCAGGAGGACCGCCCCAGGTGAACGCAGGACGGAGCCGAAGGACGCCCCCCAGGAGAAGGAGGGTTCCCCCAAGGTGAACGGCGATCTCGCCCCGGAGGCCTCCCCCGGGCCCAAGGTCAAGCCCAAGGAGGACGAGCCCAAGGCCGGCGATGCCCCCCAGGAGGCCGTCGAGGCCCGCGACAAGGTCGAGGAGCCCCCNGGAAAATATTCGCCGGTCGCGAATGTGTTAAGGTGATGTGACAGTGACGTGGAAGAGGTTTTGTTTATAAAACTTTTCTCCCAACTCGATTTACCGAATAGTTTAAAACTTTACAACATGAACGAGAAGAATTCTCTCTGCTTTCAGTCGTCACGAATCACAAGTTGTTTTTCTTTGTTTTTTTGTTTTATTTCTCTATCTCTCTCTCTTTGTCTTTTTATTGCGCACCGCGATGGCGAAGGGTTGACTTCAAAGGACGAGCCACCTCCTGGGCGGAATGCAATGCCGAAGGCGGAGAATAGATGTTTTAATGGGCAGTTTCTTTTCGACGGGTGAAATTAGTCTACGCCATTGTTTAAGGTGATATGAAATGTCTCGTGTATACGTATTGAAAAGTCGAGGGATTTTTAAAACCTTTTCTCCAATTTCTCCAGTCAGGTGAAAGTTCATCGCGAGGTCGTGGATGATCTAAGGAAGATCGCGACGCTTGTGAAATTTCATTTTTAGACAAAAAAATATATATGTATATTTTTTTTTAGTTCTCCGAGATACATGCACCATTTTTTGTCGAAAAGTGGAAGTTCATGAGCTTTGCGTTCTTCCTTAGAACTTCATCACGAGATCGTGGAGGATCTAAGGAAGAACGCGATGCTTGTAAAATTTCATTTTTCGAAAAAAGATATATATATATTTTTTTTTAGTTCTTCGAGATACATACACAATTTTTTGTCGAAAAATGAAATTTCACGAGCATCACGTTCTTCTTTAGAACTTCATCACGAGATCGTGGAGGATCTAAGGAAGAACGCGATGCTTGTGAAATTTCATTTTTCGAAAACAAAATATATATATATGTAATTGATGAATGAATTTCATTTTTCATCGTCAGGAGATTTGGCGTGGATTTTGAAAATCATGTCTCGTTTTTGAAACACGTCCGATTTCATCTGACAGTTCATATCTCTGATATTTTTTCTTTTTTTATTAATGGCAAAAATTGTAGTAAATGTACAAAAGTCTACATTTTGCTTGGAGATTTTTTTCTTTATAGGGACGTGATTTTTTTTTTTTTTTCTTTATTTTCGTTTCATTTTTCATCGTCAAGAGATTTGGCGTGGATTTTGAAAATCATGTCTCGTTTTTGAAACACGTCCGATTTCATTCGACAGTTTATATCTCTGATTTTTTTTGTTAATGAAAAAATGGTAGTAAATGTACAGAAATTTACATTTTGTTTGGAGATTTTTTTCTTTATAGGGACGTGATTTTTTTTCTTTTCATTTTCGAATTTCATTTTTCATCGTCAAGAGACTTGGCGTGGATTTTGAAAATCATGTCTCGCTTGTGAAACACGTCCGATTTCATCTGACAGTTTATATATCTCTAATGTTATTTTTTTATTAATGGAAAAATTGTAGTAAATGTACAGAAGTCTACATTTTGTTTGGAGATATTTTTCTTCTTTATCGGGACGTGATTTTTCTTCTTTCTTTATTTTCGTTATGAAATAACGAATTAATTGTAATTCATAAGGAACGTTACGTATCGCCGCTCTGATAAAAGTGCAGTTCCGAAGTCCGTTATGATATGTAATCTTTGAAGAAATTCTAATAAGCTTATTTCAGTTTTAATTTAAAATTACTTATTTTGTTATTAATATTCTAAGTACCTCCTAATGGTCAACCCTTTGCCACGAGAATGCTTCGATGCCAGTGTCTCGAAATGTCGTCTCTTAAACCGGCTGATAAGATCAGTATAGATATTAACATTAATAATTTACTGCTAATTACTGTCCCCACGCTACAATTGCGCTACTGGGTATCCCGAAATAATTCGGGTAGAGTCACAATACGCCGCAATACGTGCATTAAGGTGATATGAAAGGGTCATTCTGTATATCAAAACGTGAAAATTTATTAATACAGCTTTTCTCCAAACTAGGTGCAATTTATTTAATTGATCAGTTCATTTGAAATGTTAACACGTGGTTATGGAGGCCCTAAGGAAAAACGCGTGGCTTGTGAAATTTAATTTTTCAGAAAAAAAAAATGTTTTATTTAGCCTAGATTGGAACCGAGATCAGTTTTTTTTTTTGTGAAAAATGAAATTTAGCGAGCATCGCGTTCTTCCTTAGGGCCTTCATAATCACGCGTTAACCCGACGTTTGGTCCAGTATTGCCTGCACGGTCAGACGAATTTCGCCCATATGTCGTAATGGCTCCGTGTTCAAAGGGTTAAAGTTTCAAATGATTCGGTGCATCCAGTTTGGATGAGTTACATAGACTCTTTTATATCACATTAAGGTGATACCTGTTCAAGCGACTTTCACATCCCCTTAAGGTTTATAAAACTTTTCTCCCAACTCGATTTACCGAATAGTTTGAAACTTTACAAAGTGAATAGGGAGACTATAAGGAAGGTCCCGAAACTCATGAAATTTCAATTCTTTTCACATTTGTTTATAGGTGGTTTAAAAATAGTTTATAACAAATGAAACTTCGCGAGTTTCGTGACCTATCTTAGGATCTCCATATTCACGTTTCAAAGTATGAAACGATGTGAGACACCCAATTAGAAAAGTTTTATGAACGATTGAGCTTTCGGATGCCACTTTCACATCCCCTTAAAGTTTATAAAACTTTTCTCCCAACTCGATTTACCGAATAGTTTGAAACTTTACAACATGAACGGGAAGACTATAAGGAAGGTCCCGAGACTCTTGAAATTTCAATTCTTTTCGAGTTTCTTTATAGGTATTTTAAAAATAGTTTATACAAAATGAAATCTCGCGAGTCTCAGGACCTACCTTAGGGTCTCCATATTCACGTTTCAAAGTATGAAACTATGTGAGACACCCAGTTCTATGAAAAGTTTTATGAACGATTGAGCCATCGGATGCCACTTTCATATCCCCTTAAAGTTTATAAAACTTTTCTCCCAACTCGATTTACCGAATAGTTTAAAACTTTACAACATGAACGAGAAGACTATAAGGAAGGTCCCGAGACTCTTGAAATTTCAATTCTTTTCGAGTTTCTTTATAGGTATTTTAAAAATAGTTTATACAAAATGAAATCTCGCGAGTCTCAGGACCTACCTTAGGGTCTCCATATTCACGTTTCAAAGTATGACTCTATGTGAGACACCCAGTTCTATGAAAAGTTTTATGAACGATTGAGCTATCGGATGCCACTTTCATATCCCCTTAACGACCCGCAATCTCGCAATAGCCTGTACATAATAAATAATCGACTGTCCTCGGTTATTAAGCGGCGCTTCTTCAGACCCGGGGGCCGGCACTTTCGAGACCGATTTATCAATCAACTTTGCACTTTCTAACAAAAGGATGTTAGCGGAATCGAGACCACTCATATTTAATACACCATCCGAAGCAGATTAAGAGCCGGAGTTATATTTATAAAAGCCGCGAGCGAGCCTGCGAAAGTGGTAGTTCGCTAAGTGAATTATTACCGGAAGCCAAACCTCTGCGAGCGGTAACGGAATGAAAATAACTATTAGAACAAAAAAGAAGAAAGAAAAAAAAAGAAACCACACACACATACACACACACACACACAGTGTTAGGCGTAACGAATTAAATTAATATAATGTTATTTAAAAGAATGCATTTTTATATCGTAGGTTGACAAATTTACATAGTTTGCGGCTCTCGAATAGGTCCGAAACCACCGAGGCTATGGAGAGTTTAGTGGGAAGGGAGGAATCCTGCTTGTATTGGTCATTAACACATTCACGACCGCTGACGTGAATTCACGTCCTTTCGAGTTCTATCCCTCGTTGCCGCTGACGTGAATTCACGTCATTTAAATTCTACCTGATTGCCGCTGACGTGAATTCACGTCATTTTTAATTCTATTCCAGATGGCGCTGATGTGAACTTTTAAACGTCATTCTTATATTCTACCCCTGATTGCCGCTGACGTGAATTCACGTCATTTAAATTCTATCTGATTGCCGCTGACGTGAATTTACGTCATTTTAAATTCTATCCCTGATTGCTGCTGACGTGAATTCACGTCATTTTAAGTGCTATTCCTGGTTTGCAGCTGACGTGAATTAACGTCATTTAAAAATTCTATTCTTGATTTGCCGCTGACGTGAATCACGTCCATGACGATACACGATACAAGTTTGCGGCAACCAGTTTCAGAATTTCATTATTTTCGCCGGTACTCAGTATTTGAAACGGAAAATATTCGCCGGTCGCGAATGTGTTAAGGTGATGTGACAGTGACGTGGAAGAGGTTTTGTTTATAAAACTTTTCTCCCAACTCGATTTACCAAATGGTTTGAAACTTTACAACGTGAATAGGGAGACCATAAAGAAGGTCCTTAAACTCATGAAATTTCAATTCTTTTCAAATTTATTTATAGGTATTTTAAAAATAGTTTATACAAAATGAAATCTCGCGAGTCTCAGGACCTACTTAGAGTCTCTATATTTATGTTTTAAAGTATGAAGCGATGTGAGACACCCAGTTCGGATAAAAGTTTTATGAACGATTGTGCTATCGGATGCCACTTGCATATCCCCTTAAAGTTTATAAAACTTTTCTCCCAACTCGGTTTACCGAATAGTTTAAAACTTTACAACGTGAATAGGGAGACTATAAGGAAGGTCCTGAAACTCATGAAATTTCGATTCTTTTCAAATTTCTTTATAGGTATTTTAAAAATAGTTTATAAAAAATGAAATCTCGCGAGTTTCGGGACCTACCTTAGGGTCTCCATATTCACGTTTTAAAGTATGAAACGATTTGAGATACCCGTTCGTAGAAAAGTTTCATGAACGATTCAGCTTTCGGATGCCACTTTCACATCCCCTTAACCTCTTCATCTACAATATCGTGTGAGATACGTGGTATATCAATGTGGCGAGGTATGTTAATCAGGCCAAACGTAAAAAAAACGTATGAGAGACGTGTGAAACTTTGGATGTTCAGCCAACCCATGAAATGGCCCGATGTATGACCGTCATTTTTCTTGTTTATGGCACGCGCTAATGGAATTTAAATCGTAATGCTGAACGCATTAACACTAGAACTACCAAGACCAGTCAAAATGACTGGTTTCAAATGGCCCATCGTATACAAACAAAAATTCGCCGGTAGTTCTAGTGTTAAGGTGATATGAAAGGGTTAATCTATATGTAACAGGGAAGTCAAATCGTATGGGAAAGTATTTCCCGAATTGGGTGTACCGATTAGATTGAAATTTCACCGCGGGAATGTGGAGAGGCCCTAAAGTAGGTCCTGAAACTCGTGGAATTTCATTTTTCGTCATAAATTTATTTACTTATCATGGACTGGAACCAACATGGCGCGGTCCGGGCACATTTTCGGTATTTTACGCTTCTTGGGGGGTTAAAATCGAAAATGAGGAGTTTCAGGACTTAGCTCGAATAATTTAGAATATCGTAGAAATGGAGTATTACAGAGTCAGGTGGGAAAATATGGAAAATACTTTCCCCAACGATTGCAAGAGAATGCTGGCTCGTCTCAGGGCTGATTCGTGTTCTTAGAGGAAAAATTTAGTTGCAGCTAAACGTCACAGATGGCGCCGGTGGTCCTAAACAGTCTTTAGAATAATGAATTCCCGGGATTTCGACAGTTTTACGTCGATCCCTTTATCATTACTTTACCGAAATGTTATATGGAACGCTTCACTTGGTATAATTATCAACATGGACTTCAACATAAATATAAATGTCGGTAACGGGACGCGCCAGCTTATGTTACCACTTGAGAATTCAATATGACGTCTCCACCGAAAAGGGTACAGATGAATTTAAATTGATCTACCTCGATTAAACTTCTCAGCGCCTTTCATATCATCTTAATGATTAGAATACATCGGTTAATTAGTGTACAATAGCAATACGCAGAGTGTGTGGGCCGATATACTGCGAAGGATGCTTCCACGGTACGACAGATGACGGCAAAGCAATATTTATTCGAGACGGGTTGAGTGTTTTTCGTGCCGGTGACGATGGTGTAGTCTTGTGATCATGCTACGAAGTCATTTGTAATTAATGTAAATTATCTCGCAGGGCGGAGGTCGACTCGGTGCGACTTGGAGGTGTTCGAGAGCCATCAGGTGTAGTGAAATGTCCGAGGCCTTATCGTATCTTATATTCAGTAACGGATATGGAACAATAAATGGAAAACGATTACTCAGAAATAAAGGTCTGATAGTTACTGCACTCCCAGCGAGGGGCGACGCTGGCGAGGGTGCATTCTTGTCACTCCGTTATCGTTATCACTTCTGTGGAGGAAGACACAAGTCCTATGGAGGTCTTCCTCTGGCAAAGAATTCCGGGATCTCCACCCGGTAAGAAGACTGGAATGGAAAGGAATTACATATATGGTTATATGAAAGGGTCGTTCTATATATTAATATGACAAAATGTTTATAAAACTTTTCTCCAATCTGGGTGTTTGTCATTTGGCACTTTAACCTTTGGAGGCTCTAAGGAAGAACGCGATGTCCGTGAAATTTCATTTTTCACAAAAAAAAAAATTGCTCTTTCATATCACCTTAAGGTGATATTATAGGGTCTATATGTGCCCATAATTATGAAAGTGGTCTAAGTCATATATTTTTTGTTTCGAAATTACATTGAATTAATTTAGTTTGAAATAATGTGGCGTGAAATAACTGATAAACTCATTTTTTTTTTTCAATTTTGACTTAGACCACTTTCATAATTATGGGCACATATATTTAATCCAAACTGGAAGCACCTAATCATCTGAAACTTTAACACGTGATTATGGAGGCCCTAAGGGAGAACGAGATTTTAGTAAAATTTCATTTTTCACAAAAAATAAAAAATTGCCCTTTCATATTACCTTAAGGTGATATTATAGTATCTATATATTTAATCCAAACTGGAAGCACCTAATCATCTGAAACTTTGACACGTGAATATGGAGGCCCTAGGGAAGAACGCGATGCTCCTGAAATTTCATTTTTCACAATAAAAAGAAATGGCCCTTTCATATCACCTTAAGGTGATTAAATAGGGTCTATATATTTAATCCAAACTGGGAGCACCGAATCATCTGAAACTTTAACACATGATTATGGAGGCCTTAAGGAAGAACGCGATGCTCCTGAAATTTCATTTTTCACAAACAATAAAAAATTGCCCTTTCATATCACCTTAAGGTGATATTATAGTGTCTATATATTTAATCCAAACTGGAAGAACCTAATCATCTGAAACTTTAACACGTGATTATGGAGACCCTAAGGAAGAATGCGATGTTCGTGAAATTTCATTTTTCACAAAAAATAAAAAATTGCCCTTTCATATCACCTTAAGGTGATATTATAGTGTCTATATATTTAATCCAAACTGGAAGTACCGAATCATGTGAAACTTTGACACATGGTTATGCAGGCTCTAAGGAAGAACGCGATGTTCGTGAAATTTCATTTCATATCACCTTAAATACAATAGAAAAATTGTTACTTTTTACGTTGAAAGTGTGATATCTTTAAATTGTACTCTGCTCTTCTTACCGGGCATGGAAGCCCAAAAGTGTGTAGACCGGTGCGGACGTTTGATGCTCCAAAATTAGTACGATAGTCGCCGAACGGCGGCGCTAAGATCATCTCTGCATCTTTCTTGATCTTATGGGAATGTAGGGTGTTCTTCCTCTTATGATATCAACCTTTCCGTACCCTTCTCTCTTCCTTCCATGTGACATGCCACAGAATCACATGCGATCTCTCTTCCACAACCACTCTCAGTTTATTAGCCACTTTAAACAGCATCTGACGCTAACTTTGTGTCTCGTTTCAGCTCCTGCGGAACCCCTTAATTATTTGTTACATGTGAAGTTGTCATACACCACTTTGGAACAGACTTTAACGGTTTGCTTAAAGAAAGTTCACTTCTAAAACACTGCTTTTTCTCGCTGTCAAATACTCTATTTTTTTTTTAATTTATTCTTACAGTCTAATGCAAGTAAACTTGCTGTTCTACGAGTACCAAAAAGTCACTGCGTTTCACCACAAATGAACACACTGTTATAAACCAGCTTTTGTCGTTGCTACCAATTTAATTTATATTAGATATTACGACTGGACGGTACACTTTCTACTTAACTCAGTAAATTAAAATTTTAGTCGCTACGGATGGAAATCGGTATAAAGAGAAATGATCTTTTTAGAATGGGATTTTGTTTCATATGTATATAGTGTATTATGATTAAAGAGAAAATGATACATTTATGGATGAATCGATATGATTATAAATATATATATATTGCAACATATATATATTTATACAAAAATATATATGTACCATATAAAGAAATGTAACGATCGTATTTTTATGTTTATCTTCCTTTGCCAGACGATAAACAAAGAGTAGCACAGATTATTACAAAACTATTTGATCGGCAAACAGGGAGAACACTATTTTGAATTGGATATGTATAAATATATAATATGATTATTATTAACTGTATCGATATCTCTACATAAAGTATGAAACGTTCTCTTGCCCTTTTATGAAAAAAACAAAATATATATAATTAAATGCACTTATACAAATACACTCTCTCATTTATACACGGTTTCCTTTCACTGCTGAATTCTTCATACTTTCAATGAACGATACTTTTTCACTTCGCATTCATGGACAATGAATCTTGTTTACATTTTTGCAAAAGAACCAAGCGTGTCGGAATGCAAAACATGTTACATAAAAGTATAACAATGTGGATGAGATATACATTGTCTACATACTAGCGACTTTCTCAACACGTCTTACTGCATCTTTCAGTTTGTATACCAATTCTTGCAGTTCTTGAGGTGTGCAAGTAAACTTGACGTGGCGTAACTCTCCTTGCTTCTCCGTGGAAAGCTGAATGTGGTAGATGGGCACACCAATGGAGCTTTCGGTGTCAGACTGGTGAGTGAGTAAAATATTTTACTAAGATATGCCTCGATAGAAATTTACAAGCAGGAAATAATTACCTTGATACAATAATCTAGTCGCCAATCGACGTCGACCACATGAGGAAGCCCATGACCAATTCGCTCTAATTTCTCTTTAATACCGTTCAAGTGCGTGGTGTAAAAAGAACGTATCCTCTCTGCTTTAGGGCCCTCGATGTTAGAAGCGCTCAAAAAGTCAGAAAGTTCTGTGTCGTTACAGTTGTGTCTTGCGGCTTCTACCAACAGACTGGTAATGTCTGCAAAGGCACCTTTAACTATGTCTGGCTTTGAGCCGTAGATTTGAGCAATACCTGAAATATTTGAAATTGTTAGCTATTACAGTTAAATCCATGCACGATTGTGTTGGACTCGTGCATATGTAGTAGTAACAATGAAAAGCTACTAGATCTTTCGAGACATTTCATGTGTATTATAATATTTGATAATGTTTACATAAACCAACATGAAATAGTTACTCGACAATCAAATTATTACATTCATCGACTACGCCGGAGCAAATAATCAAGAGTTAACCTCAATTAACTACTGCTATGCAAATAGTACAAAACAATTTTCTGTTCATTCAGTTACCGATTAAATATGTAATTAAATATGTAATAACATAATTGTCGGTGCCCATTTTGCAAATCATTTTATTTTAAACAAGTAACAGAAGGGAAAGTAAGGTTAGGTCGAAAAACGTACTTTTAACACTCGAATTGCCGAGTATATGTCCTATGGCAATCTCCAAAAGTTGCTCAAAAGTTTCATCGTTCATTATATTCGCATCTTGAATGTTTCTTAATCCTTGAATAGAATTGTGCGACAGTTCCATCTTAACGAGAACATAAACTTAGGTTAGAAGAAAAGTCACGCGTAGGAGACGACAGAAGCGGATCCGCCATTTTGAATTAAGGAATACAACCAACGCCATCTGGATTATTTGACATAAGGGAAACAGAAAGTAACCAATTACGTATGCATATGATAACATACTCGCTAGATTGAATAGTTTAGCCAATAGAAATAGAATACCTGCGCATCCTGCAGGTGGTCGTAAATGTAAGTGATAGAGATACCTTGACGGGCTATTTATCACTTTATTCCAACTCTGACCGTATTAACGTCAAAAACGTCTTCGCTTAAATAATCAAACAATTATGCCAGTTATTGATAATCATGAAACAATAGAAAAGGAGTTGACATTTTCTTGCTTCCAGAATTATTCTTGACTCCGAGGTATGTCGTGTAATAAGGTCGATTTCGAAATGTCTACAATACCAGATAAAGAATCATTAGACCACCTTATCTATTCAGAACGAAACGTCAGCACCATTTTGGATACTCATTAGATCTCGGTGATAAACGAAGAGAGCACAATGTCTGGACCTCTGAATTGTAATTATTCACTAATGTCATTACATCTACTAATAAATAACTGCTAAAGTAATCGAGTTAACTTTTCGTACTACTTAAGCTTACGTCAAATAATATTCCATTGTTTTCGGTCATTATTAGGTATATATTCCCTCATGTGTGTCGTACTTAATTTATATAAGGAAACGATACCTTTGTTAACAGCAGTTTTCTTAATTTTACACAAGGGAGTTAATTATCCGTGGAAATCACTTGGCCCGCTTTGATTCGGAAGTGTAACGATGGAAGACGAAAGAAATGAAGAGATACAATCTTTAACTAACAGGACGACTAATGAAGGATATACAGGTCTCAATAATGTAATTAGGTAAATTACTTGCTCACGTTAATCCATCCAACAAACTGCTTGCTGAATTATCACTGTATTAGGTAATGAATTTTCAACTGGGACATAAACTCCGCCTTGCGATGTTTTAATAGGTTGTGTAAATCTACGAATGGCTCGTAAAACAGGCATTCCATGAGCGAAGGTTACGATTAGATTTTCTGCTGGAATAGTTTCCTTGAACCTGACATTGATCTATAAATGGAGGTTAACGTAAAGCATCGGAGTTATTCAATTTAAATCTCCCGATCCAGTGCGGTGATCATACCGGGTGATTTCAATCCTATGCCTTGAGGGAAATATTCTTGAAAATGTAAATCTCTATCAAAGAAATCTCTGGTCAAGTACAATTTCCTTTCACTCCATCCTATCGGAAAACTTAAATAACGCAAGGCCAATAAATCGGTTAAACTTAAATAACGCAAGGCCAATAAATCGGTTAAACTTAACCTTGTCTCGTAAAGAACCTAACAGGCAATAAATATTATGTAATGATACAATCAATATAAAAACGAGGTACCATTCTCTATTGTTCAGCATTGCCAATGGAATTATTAAATATTGAACACCGAACTAGATCTCTTTCTCGTTACCCTTGAAGGTCTCGCATACTAGTCAAAGAAATAAGTAATGTTATTTCTACGGCAAGGCTCTATTAATAAACCACTGAGGTTCTGGTGTACCTCGTTTAATTATCCATCAGTCTCGTAGCTGTTCATTGATATTACCTATCGTAGAGGGGAGAACGTGGAGGCGTCTTGAAGAAGAAAAAAGTGGGAGTAGTCGTTCGATTCCTTTGGTACTCTAATCGTTGGCTTCTTTTCTTGCTCGGAGAATATTTAATTTGAATGATTCTAAATACAATTGTGTACAATACAACATTTTGACAGACCAAACGTTCAAAAACTCAAAATCAAGTGTAAACATGACGTCAAAATTTGTTTCTCTTAACTTAATCGTCGCCATAACTTTACCATATAAAAGAATTTTGTAAATTTCTGTAATCAGACTTGATCATGTTACATCATGTGAGAAAGTTTCTTTTCAGTGACACATCGGCAAGAACTTTTAAGAAAGGAGGCATACCACAACCATCATTCAAAGATGTGATACCCCAAGTAAGTTTCTAATGAAAAAACTAACTTTCTAAGTTCTTGAAATCGAATAGCTTATGACTGAAAATTTTAATTAAACTGTCAAAGATTTCATGAAATTTAGATTTTTTAGAAAACTGTCATCGATTCGCTATTTAAAATATCATAATAACTAATATTAATTACTCACTTTGTTATAATAATACATCTTTTTCGAGGTAATTGCAAGCTGTATCGTTCACTGCATAGTAATACAGGCTGGAATAAACATGGCGTACAGTACAATCTTGACAAATGGTTTAAAGAGAGGCGAAAATAACATCACAATTGATGAAAATGCAGAGTCTTGGATAGGTAAGTGCAAAATTATTCATCTCAAGTGAAATATAACTTATTGATCCTTAGTTGAAGTCGTAAGGTTCCTGCGAGATATATTATCTTTATGGCTCATAATTCGATGTTAGTTAAGGGTTAATTTTAAATACCTTGTCTAACGACTAATGACTAATACTAAAAGAAAGATATATTTTACAGCAAGCATAGTTACCATATCACTGCCTATTGGATCATTGCTCGTTGGTCCACTGATGGATAAGTTTGGACGCAAAACCATTTGCCTGGCATCGTGTGTACCAGTCATAGGTTCCTGGATTTTGCTGATGATCAGTAACAGCTTACCTATGGTGTACTTTGCCCGTACCATGGCAGGGGCAGCAGCAGGACTCACAACCGTAGGTCTGGTTTACGTGTCAGAAATTACACATCCTCAGGTCAGGCCAATGCTGCTCTGTCTGAATTCAGTTTTCGTCTCCTTTGGCATCCTCATTTCGTGTTTCTTCGCAATGTGGTTGAACTGGTACCAGATGGCGATAATATTCTTGGTTTTGAATATTTTCATCTTCTTTGCCCTCTTCACCATTCCTGAAAGCCCTTATTGGCTTCTGTGTTTCAACGGTGAAGCATTCAATGAAAAACGGACTGCCAAGGCGGAACGCAGTCTAAAGTGGCTTAACAGAAATCATACGGTGAATAAAACCTTAAAGTTCTAGATATAATGTATCGTTGCACAATTTTGGACTAAGCCACTCTTTACGTATTAGAGACCACTGAACTAGACATACATTTTGAATAATCGATGGGACTTTTATGCAGAGTAACTTGATTACTAGTGACAAAATCGTGCAACGACTGGAACGAGTGCTATGTGAAAGTGATGAAAATGACATGGGTTTTCAATTTTAGTTCTATGAACAAGAGTACGAGAGAATCAAAGAGATTTACCACAGTCGTCAGCAGCAGGAAGAGGTATCGAAGAACATTCTGCAGTCCATAAAGTACTACTATCATCGAGTAATCTCACCTAACGTCTATAAGCCAATAGCGATTCTCTTCTTCCTCTTGCTACTTCAGCAATTCTCCGGAGTTTACGTAGTGATCTTCTATGCTATCTCTGTCTTCCATGAAATTGGTGGGTCCTTCGGTGGAGGTGTCGACGAATATGGTGCACTTTTGCTACTCGGTGTCATCCGCTTTGCTATGAGCTTAGTCACTGTCTACTTCAGCAAAATATATGGACGCCGACTTTTGAGTATCATCAGTGGACTTGGAATGACCTTCTCCATGTTCTTCTCTGCGATGTATCTGTACCTGACATCATCTTGTGACGAGAATGGACAAATTGTCAACCAGAGGTGGCTTTTACTAGTCATTGTATTGTTTTATGTGTGCATGAGTTCATTAGGATTTATCGTCATACCTTGGACAATGATTGGTGAACTTTTACCCATCTCAGTTCGTGGCACGGGTAGTGGAGTTATGACGGCAGTGGCCTATATCATAATGTTTGCGGTGGTTAAAAGTTTCCCATATATGTTAAAAGCTATCGGGGGACAAGGTGTGTTTTTCTTCTTTAGTCTCATGTCACTGGCTGCTACGAGCTTTGTCTACATCTTTTTACCGGAAACCCTTGGCAAGACTTTTGCAGAAATTGAAAGTTACTTCGATAAGGGTAAAGAAAAATCAAGACAACAAATTCGAACCGTTGACTGTTGATTTACTACAATGTAATCAAAGGAGTTCTAATAGAGTTTTCCATTATAATATATTGGAAAACAGATTTGATATTTTTTATCATTTTATGAACGACAGTATTTTCTAATATTCCGAAGATGTTTTTCTGAAATGCAATTTGCTCATATGTTTTTTATTGACATCGATCTAAAGAGAATCTGTGATCACGTTGATAGAATATTTACGTAATTGATAAAATGTGATCGGCATCTTTATAGTGCTTTTTAATACCTTTTATACAGGTAGATGTAAATGACTAAGACTTAAGAATAAAGAACGATTAACATATCCATAATAGTTATAGTGATAACTGGTTCCTTACAAGCCCCCGAAAAACCATTTTCAATTATGCATCGCTGTAAGATGTTAAAGACTAAATTTAATTCTGAAAATCAATAATTTCCTTACATTTTTGAATTTAAGGTGAACGAGATAACATTTTCTACTTCAGATATTAACTAATAATATATTTTGGTTCTTTGGAACCTGAGCAATTTTTTAATTATTTTAATTACAAGGATCATCTTAACGAGTAAGGAACAGTAGCAGATTTATTTATATTATAATACTAAGAAATCTACATTAATATTACCATTCAAATAAAGTATATTTTGTTATATATCAATTTTAATGATTAAAATCGGAAGCAGAAAAAAAACATTTTTTAATACACATTAATAACTGTTAATGACAAATGAAAATAGTACCATTGTGTGGGTAAGATCATGTAGATCTGTGTAGATTAGTGTAGATTAGTGTAGATTAGTGTAGATTAGTGTAGATTAGTGTAGATTAGTGTAGATTAGTGTAGATTAGTGTAGATTAGTGTAGATTAGTGTAGATTAGTGTAGATTAGTGTAGATCATGCACGATTACGTCTCCATCCTACTCGAAATCCGGGATTTATCGAGTCTAACCCCAGTAAATCCAAAGTGTCGATCGAAACGCTCAGGGCGTTAATTACGTATTTTTGGCGAAAGCGCTCCCTTCTCGCGCTTTCATCTCACGTGAGATTATTCGCCGAATTACGTATTCGCTATATGAAAGAACGAGATCACTAGCACTTCCGATCTGGTAATATTACAAATAAAGGTACATACCTTGTAAATCGAAAATTGTTGAGAGGTAGTGTGTTATAGCAGATTTCGCTTAAAAATTTGTGTCGAGCTAGTTTACATGTATGGTCTCGCATTTTCACTACCAAAAATGTTCCGTAATACCGTGAGCTACTCATTTTTCACACTTTCGCTCAATTTGCTTTACGTGAAAGACCCCATGGTGTGAAACATCTCCCCGCTCGTCTCTGTATGATTCTACGAACTGATTGACAGCGCCGATCGGAACTATTCCGATGCTTCAAAATTTAACGGTTAAGGGTCCGTCTATGTAATGAAGCATATCTTGGTTCATCGCTGGGTGGCCCAATATATGGTGATATATGGCGAATCGGCGAAGAATGTAGTATCTTTGACGGCTTATAATTTCCACTTTAACTGCGTGCCTACAGAAAGGAGGATTATTTACGGACGGGTGGTTATCACTTTTTGGTGCAGCAAATATCCGGGAAATGTTCTACGCTAACGGGGTTCAAGAAGAACGGCTAAATCAAGACAAAGTGGACCCGTGCAGAATATCTTCCGCTTATATCGGAGTCTTGAAACGTTGCGTCTGACGCGAGGTACATCGTCAGTTTTCCCCCACGTTTTCCCTTGAACGTCTCCCGAGAAATAGGTTAGGAAGATGACGCTTAATTCTGCACTAGTAGAATGACGATAAAAAATCATTACCAAATGATTTTCAGTTGTCAGCCGAGGGTTAGCTTTTTTGAGGGAAGCAGGTTCTTCGATGGCTGTGTGAAGAGGAATTAAACGGAGATGGAGGAGCCACTGCAAGCCAAGGATGAGGCATCGGCCCCGGAGGAACCAGTCAAGTCGGAAAATGTCATTCCAAATGCAGAGGCGGGGGAGCGAGCCGACGGAATCGCTTCACCGCCACCGAACTGCAGCATCTGCCTTGGAAAGCTGATCAACACTTCGTTTACCGACAGTTGCCTTCACCAGTTCTGTTTTGCTTGCCTTTTGCAATGGTCCAAAATTAAAGCAGAGTGTCCACTGTGCAAGCAGACTTTCATGTCTATTATTCATAATGTACGCTCGGAGGAGGACTATGACCTGTATGACGTACCTCGCGAACTTGCTGCTACGCTTGACGTCAACTTTGACGTCGGAGTCAACGTGGACATGGGATCTCGTCGCTTTACCTACCGGTATAAATTTGTGGGTGTTTTTAATTTATGTAGTCGTGACAAATGGAATACGATTAACGTTTGCAGGACCACAATGGCTAGGAATCGGCGATATCACATGGAGGTGGATAGAGCGGACAGAGCGCAAAGGGAACAGCTTTGGAGAGATGAACAGAATCGGAGGGGAACTAATTCCACAGATTTTAGACGTAATGTTTATAGAATGGGAAACTATTCTATTCCTTTACCTGACACAGGTCGTTATCGGGAGTGCAGTGTTTCGTATTACAGGTATGCGTTGAATTATTTTGGCACGATGTTAAAATGATCATGGTTATTAATAACCATTTGTATTGTGTATCATAGGAGATATCCTAATGAGTTGACTCGACTCATACCATGGTTGAATAGAGAACTGCAAGTTCTGTTAAATGACAATGCCCCTCACATAGCATACGTTTTGCGAATCATTATGAATACTCTAACTAGATACGATTTGAGGAGTCCAGAGTTCCGTGACTTAATTCGTCCTTACTTTAACACGAACACGGACCATTTTGTGCATGAGCTTATGATCTATGCTTGTGCTGGCTATGATCTGGTTGGTTATGACCAAAACATCTCATATCTACCACGTAACCGTAAGTTGCTCATCGTGCTCTTTTCTCATTTTATCTCTTATGTTGAAATCTTGATCTACGCAACACATCTCTAACAACATAATCTAAATGAAATAAACTTTCAGTCTTTTCAAACAGAATTGTACCGCATATATCTCCCGTTCCACCAAGTTCCAGCAGAAGTAGTACTTCATCTGATGATTCTGAAGTTAGAGTATTGGATGAAACAATTAATACAGCAGGACCAAGTATTGAAGTGCCGAGCGTCGGACCCCACACAGTTGATATGCCAGGTGAGTGTATCACCTGAATATTCTTTCTAACTTAAGGTGATATGAAAAGGTTGTTCTATATATATAAAACATCAAAATAATTATTAAACTTTTCTCCAAACTGGATGCACCAACTCATTTGCAACTTCAGCACGTGAATATTTAGGCCCTAAGGAAGAACGTGATGCTCGTGAAATTTGATTTTTCAAACAGAAGTTGTTTATTTAACCCAGACTGGAACTAAGGACATGTTAAATGTTTTACTCAATTAAAATTTATTCATTTAATTGAAAAGTTATTAAAAAAATATCTATTAGCAATGTAATATACATGCAGTCGATGTTTTTCAAAATGCAATGTTTCAAAATTGCGTTGAAGTTCAACCCGATAAACCATTATAGGATTGAACTTCAAATAAATTTCTATTAAAGGGTTTAACCCTATCAGGGTTTCTCCTACCGATCTGTCTACATCTTGAAACTATCGCTGTGACATTAGATAATGATTAATGTATGTGTCTTAAAAGTTCTATTATATTTCTTTTTCCTTGTTTAGGACCTAGTACCGTTGGTCAAGTCTTTGATCCACCTCCTTATGCCCCGGACTACGTTTTCACGATCTCCTCAAATTCCTCATTGTCTGAAAACGAATGCGAGGTCGTCGGATACGTGAAACCTCGACATGAAAGGACTCCAGAAATCATAGATCTTTTGTCGTCAGATGTCGAACAAGTGACACCTACACCTACTGTCGAAGAGCCTCAGTGAGTAAAGATTGGTCGGCTTGTCTCTGTTTAACCCATTAGCATCATTAACGTATATATACGCTCAGTTTTCCTGGTCACTATCATTTTTAATACATATTAATAACTGTTAATAACAAATTGAAATAGTAAAGATTGTAAACTATTGCATAAAAAACCTGTTATAAGAAAAACGTATTTAAATTGCTTAAATATTTTCATACATATGAGATTGCTTCTAAATTTGCTTTGCATATTTCCATAACGCATTCTTGAAATGTGCTATTGAAGTATGCACACAGAAAAAAAATCTATTTTTTTCTTTTAATTTTACATGTGAATGTACCCTTTATTTTCACGCTCTAAAGCTTCAGGGTAAAGTTTGTAAAACGTCTTGTTTTTTCTTTAAACATTTGCAGAGTACCTAGCCCCCTTTGGCCTGCAGATCCGGGTCATCCGAGCACGTCATATGAGAAAAAATCAAAGTCCAGCCGAACAGTAGACCGAAAGGCGAACGAGCCTACAAGCCGCAACTACTCCTTGACCTCTTCATCGGCATCGTCTTCGTCGAGTTCATCAAGCGACAGCAGCGAGTCGGATTCCGATAGCGATTACGATCCAAGACGAGGGAGACGCGGCAAGGCTCGATCGAAAGGCTCCTCGAAGGGTTTGAAGGGTTCTAAGAGCTCGAAATCATCGAAGGGCTCTAAGACGTCGAAGACCTCAAAGTCATCGAGGCCGTCGAAGACCTCGAAGACTCGAACGCGGGACAGAAAGTACTCCGATGGGCTGAAAAGTCGTAGCAAATCGCGTAGAAAGGGGACGAAATCGTTGATATTGAGCAGCTCGGATTCCGAGGCCACCCGGGACCTCTCCAGGGAGAGGAAGAAGAGGAAAACCTCGAAGACGCTGACCTCGGATCATTCCAGGAAGAGGAAGGCACTCTCCAGATCGACTCCCAGCTCCTCCGAGGGAGAGAAACTCAGAAACGAAGACACCAAGAGCGGAAGCAAGGGGAAGACCGAAGAGCCACCTGCGGAAGGGAACCGACTGAAGGTCCGCAGCGACCTGGTGAAGAAAGAAGTGTACAAAGAAACTTGCTCGAGCAGCGAGCCGGCGGCCACCTGGCATAGACGTTCACATTCCCGTCGTCATATCTCCACCAGGACTCGAGTACGAGGCAGGTCTTCGAGGTCAAGGGACTCGAGAGAATCGAGATTCCGTTCCAGGAGGTCTTCTTCGTCGACTTCCTCCTCCTCGTCCTCGGGGTCTTCTTCCTCCTCGTCCTCCTCTACGAGTAGAGACTCCAAGCAGCGGGATGATTCCTCCAGGACCCTGAAGGGAGGATCCTCTCGGTGGACAGACGACGAGACCCCAAGGGGAACAGGGAGGGCAGGCGAGAGCTCGAAATCCGGGAAACCGAAGGAAGGGAAACTGGAGGACCCGGGTGATGGGAAACCCATGACGGTTGTGGCCGCTGCTGCCAGTTCCACCGTTGCTTCCAATGGAGAGGACACTGAGAACACCATCTCCAATGACAAAGTGTCGGATAGAAACTCTCGCCCTAGGTTAAGCAGTAAGTGTAGTGCTCGCAGCCTTAGTTCGGAGAGGTCTAGGTCCAGACACAAGGACCGACGCAAGGAGAGGTCCGGAAGGTCGTCTTGCACCATTAGGAAGATTAGTTGTAGCTCGGGTTCTTCTGCTTCGAGGACAGAAAGGTCTGCCGAACCAGCCAAAGGATCCAGGATTAAGCACTCCCAAAGCAAAAGCTCCTCGTATAAGGATCGCTCAAAGAAACTCAGGGACTCGAGGGTAAGGAACGACGGAGGTTGTATCACCAGTGACAGTGATTCCTCGATCCTGGGGAAGGTCAAACCGAGGAGAAAAAAGCGTCATATTGGCTCTTCTTCTAGCTCTAGGGAAGGCTCCTCGCATTATCATTTGAATACCAAACGTAATTCGGCTATGGACAGGGCCAACAGGGCCAGCAGGAACAGCAACGGTAGCTTAAGTGAATGCTAACGAGAACCTTTCGGACTCTCAATGTCGAGCAGGACTACGACGAGGAATTCCACATTGCGAGGAATAATTAGAAGCAGGAATCCTAAGACGGAAGGCAATGCTTAGACTGCAGGCACTTTGTTTTCGGCTACGAATCGCGCGCTTTGCGGAGGCAAGGATTCTGGAAGAAGCTGACTTTAATGGGAACCGCCCGAGGGTTTATTACTATATTGGATCGTTACAGTTGTTTCACTGTAATTTCACCTCTTATTAGTTGTAACCTCTCGTGCTTGTCTCTTTCTTAAAGGTACTCTGTTAGGAGATGTGAGTGAGTCGCTTGCGTTACTACGGAAAATTAAAGGGAAATTAATATGCCATTATGTCGAACTGGGATAAAAATCTGATTGTATGTCTTTATTTTGTCCTTCTGGCGATAGAGGGCTATCCCGTGCTATAATTCATCTTCTGTAATTGTAATTCATTACTTTTTACAATTGCGGTTGAGAATCGAAGGTGTTGAAGCGATCGAAGCCTCCTGTTGGAGCTTTTTCTAACTATTAGGTGTAATGGGAAAGTTCTGTCACTCTTTTTTCTTAAGTGTGCGGGTGAGAAGAGGACAGTACTTTTCCTTACACTTAGTAGTTTTCTGCCTCGTGCCCAAAGATACAGGCGAGGACGTATGTAATGACGTATGTAAATGTAAATTCATCGGACCAGACATTTTAAAGAAGGTAGTGTTAAGGTGAAATGAAACCCGTCGAGAAGTCTATTCGACGTCGGTAAAAGTGATTTTTTGACTCTCTACGTTACCGACGTTTATATTTATATTGACCGCTGTCTTGTACTACATTGAATATTCCTACGGAATTACGTACTCCATATATCGTTTCCATAGGATGATTATAAAGAAATCGAAGAAAAACAAGAATGTCACCTGGATTCATGATTTTTTATACTCTAAGTAACTGCAGAGTACCACCTTTCGCCATCTGTGCATTTAATGTCAATTAAATTTCATTTCCGCAACCTCGCGTTACCTTCGTCTTAGCACGGAAGCTCGTAAGACACCTTTTATTCACTTTTATCCCGTTCAAATCCGAATTTCTCGATTACAAGTGTTCCAAATTGTCGTGCAATTGTCATGACATTATTCTTTCTCATATCAGACCCTTCAATAATTGTATGAAAAAAAATTGACCGAGATCTGAAAGCTCGACGCCATCTTTGGTTCTGGTCTGGGATAAGATAGAAAAATTTCCTTTGAAAATTTATATTTTGAAAGTCTCAATGGTAATTCTCAACAATTACAAACTACAATTTTCAACAATGACAAACTACAACTTTCAACAATGACAAACTACAATTATCAACAATTACAAACTACAATTTTTGAACAATCACAAACTACAATTCTTAACAATTACAAACTACAATTTTCAACAATTACAAACGACAATTATCAACAATTACAAACTACAATTTTTGAACAATCACAAACTACAATTCTTAACAATTACAAACGACAATTTTCAACAATGACAAACTACAATCCTCAACAATGACAAACTACAATTTCCAACAAATACAAACCACAATCCTCAACAATTAAAACCACAATTTTCAACAATTACAAACTACAATTTTCAACAATTACAAACCACAATCCTCAACAATTACAAACCACAATCCTCAACAATTACAAACTACAATTTTCAACAATGACAAACTACAATTTTCAACAATGACAACCAACAATTCTCAACACGTATAAGGGGGGTTTCACATCACCTTAAAGAATCACGATATTTCGGTATAAAGTTTATGTCCCTTGGTGATGGCATGTTAACAATTGGCGGTATGGAGAAACATCAAGTAATTAGGAAGTCATACTGTTTAGTATTTTACAGTGCGCCTTGTACTTTGGATTAAAACTTTTTATGTCCCTTCGTGGCAACAGCGATTGTTAATACAATTTAAGATTGGGGAAGTAAAGTTTCCATGGAATAAGTAGTATGGGTTGATTTAAATGCACTCAAACCTGTTTCCGATTACTGCCTTGATATCGACTCAAGGAAGTCATTAAGGCGATATGAAAGGGTCATTCTGTATATCCAAACGTCTAAATTTATTAATACAGCTTTTCTCCAAATTAGGTGCACCGAATCATTTGAAACTCTAACATGTGATTATGGAGACCCTAAGGAAAAACGCGTTGCTCTTGAAATTTCATTTTTCACACAAAAAGAAATGTTTTATTTAGCCTAGACTGGAACCAAGATCACATTTCTCTTTGTGAAAAATGAAATTTCACGAGCATCGCGTTATTATGAGGCCCTTAGGGCCTTCATAATCACGTGTTACCCCTTGGTTATTAAGAACGCCTAAAGGCGCCCGACGTTTGGTCTAATATTGCCTGCACGGTCAGACGAATTTCGTCCATATGTCGAAATGGCTCCGTGTTGAACGGGTTAACTATTATAGCGATATATTAAGTTGTCCAGAAAGCTCAACGAATGTCTCCAAGTTCTTCTATTATCGCGGATATAGAAAACTAGTCATTAAAATTGGTCCGTTTTGTGTTCTCATAGAGAAAAGATTACGATAAACCCCTTGGCTATTAAGAGCGCCTAAAGGCGCCCGACGTTTGGTCCAATATTGCCTGCACGGTCAGACGAATTTCGCCCATATGTCGAAATGACTTCGTGTTCAAAGGGTTAAAGTTTTATATGATTCGGTACACCTAGTTTGGAGAAAGGTTTTATATCACCTTAAGGTGATATGAAAGGGTCATTCTATACATCACCTTAAGGCGATATGAAAGGGTCATTCTTTATATCAATACGTTAGAATATTAAACTTTTCTCCAAATTGGGTGTAAGGAATCATTTGAAACTTTAACACGTGATTATAGAGGCCCTAAGGGAGAACGCAACGCTCGTGAAATTTCATTTTTCAAGAAAAAACTTTTTATTTAGCGTATAGTAGAACGAAAATCACATTTTTTTTCGTGGAAAGTGAAATTTCACGAGCATTGTGTTCTTCTTTAGAGCCTCCTTAATCACGTGTTAAAGTTTCAAATGACTCTGTGCACCCAGTTTGGAGAAAAGTTTTATAAATATTTTGACATTTTATGTGTATAGAATGACTCTTTCATATCACCTTAAATATACCTGTAAAATATCCTATTTGTAGTTCATGCAAAATTACATATGAACGATATGTTCCAATGTGAAGTATCAATTTAAAAGAAATTGGGATTCCTTAAAATAGAAATTGATCGCACTTCAAAAAAGCGAAATCTTGAGGTAAAGTCAGAGATAAGATTCCAATGCGAGAGAATTTTAATACTAAGTGCTGACTACGTCACTTAACGCAAAAACAATATCCAATTCCATTTAAACGCCCAGTATATTTTGTTAATCAATTAATTTTTACAGAATATATATACAGTAACGGTGCCTGTAGGAAAAAAATTTAATTTAAGCTGCAGCTTCACTCTTGGGTTTATCGAGGGCATTGAAGACGATGTAAATTGGGTTCATGAGAAATGGATGCCTGCAGAATTGAAGGCATGCAAGATTCTGCAAAGAAATGTCATTGTATTATTTCCGTTGATATCTTTTTATACTCTATAAATAAGGTGGGCAAGGAAAATGTTCTCTCTTTTGCAGCAGTACAACCTGAGTTAATTTAAAAGAAGAAGAAGAACCAGTTTCTTTTTAGATAAGACTATGATATAAAGGAATTCTCTACCTGATAAAGTCATCCATGTCCATTGACCTTGCTCTCGTGTCTTCCGCCTGTGCTTTTTGCAATATGTCATCCACCATTTTCTTCATGTCCAATTCCTCTGGTATCGGCTAAATGAGATTATATTTAAATACCAAGCTAGTTACTTTGATAATCCATGTAAGTGGCCGTAAAAGTTGCATTAATGTTAGGAAATAGAAGACGCAAGGAAAAGTACGTTGTAGATTAATTGTATCGAGTTTACTTTTTTAAATTATTAACAGCCTTACTTTGTCATTAAGACTGCAGTGAAGCTTGAAGTTCTTTTCTAATAAAGTCAAAACAGCCGTCTGTTTAAACGCTGCCGACAACGTTTTGTTTTTCCTAACGAAGGCAATCCTCGTCAGTCCATCCCATTCCTGATAGTTAATCGGTGGTGGTGGGTTCCGAGGCTCCAGCCTGACCACGCTAGACTCAACTTTAGGAGGTGGTTTGAAGTTATTTTTGCCAACTTTCATCAGTATGTCTACTCGTGCTAGAAGTTGAGTATTCACGCTGAGACGACAGTACAACTTATCACCTGGTTTCGCCACTAATCTCTCCGCAAATTCCCTTTGAAACATGAGTACTGCACATCTGGGGGAAAAGGGAATTGGAAGAGGCGTTGGGCATTCATTAGCATTGGACATATGCAAGAATTAATTCATAATCCACACCTCAATCCTTCTCTCCATGTGAGACACTTAACGAATACCTGAAAAGCGGTCTGTGTAGAAGTAGCTTAAACACCAAAGGTGATGATATTTGGTACGGAATGTTTGCTACGCATAGATCGAAAAATGGCAAATCTGTTTTAAGCACATCGCCAATGATCACTTGTAGCTTGGAACGGTTTTCCGTTCCTTGAACTCGTTTCTGTAACTCGGCGACCATTCTCGTGTCGACTTCGCAAGCGATCACTTTCTTAGACTTTTCGAGCATCTTAACCGTCATGTTTCCCGTACCAGGACCAATTTCCAATACAACGTCTGTAGGTCTGATTGCTGCCTTTTCTACAATCTTTTGGATAATCAGAGGATTTTTTAAGATATGCTGCCCAATATTGGTGTTGAACAGAATTCCTATAATAAAAAAAATATGAATGAAACTAATTAAAGCATTCACGTTGGAACAAAAGCTAATCAATGTTTGTCTTTTACGTAAAACAATTCGTTATTTTACTGAAGTAATTATGTAGATAAGTATAATAATACATAAAGCCCCACAAAATTGTAGGTTATGTGCGTCTAACCTTGTTTCTCGATATTATTGTGGACGCGGGATAATTTCGCTGCACGTATTTTCGGCATCTTTCGGTTTAAATCCGCAGATATTAATTTAAAATTACAATTCCTTTTTTTTTATAATTAAATATAATTGATGGACAGTTTTGCTGATGTCAACACTTGATAACACGTGCTCGCATCCATTCGCTTTAAAATACTTTACAATTGTTTATGTGTTGTTGTTCTTGGTTCCCAGAGTATCCAAAGGTGTACTCTATTAAAGTTAATTTTTTACTGCAAAGTTATACAGCGATTGAGGTTATCTAATCTGTACTTAGGATGCGCAGTTAATCTCGAACTCTCTTATAATTGTTTATAATGCTTGAAAAACATCGGACGTGAACCATGGTAAAGGATTTATAAGTCTTCATAGAAGCAAAGAACGATAGGGATTTTTGATGCTCTATAAATAGTATGTTAGCCAACGGATGGCGGCGCTGTAATCAGCTTTCCATTTCTCTTATCGAACTCAGACTATAGGGCGGCCCAACTTAGGGGGTCTATTACGTAAAGCAAATGGAGCGAAAATGTGAAAAATGAGTAGCTCACGGTATTACAGAACGTTTTTGGTGGTGAAAATGCATATATATATATGCATATATGCATATATATATGCATGGATTATGAAAATAAGAGAGTTTCCTCTAATATATGCATGTATTATGAAAATAACAGGAAACTCTCTTATTTTCATAAATAATAGGAATCTCCCAACCATCTCTGGTACTTCATCTTCGCGGGAAAATTGTAGCGGCAAGGGAATGTCTGCCGGTTCAAATGAAGTTAACGTGAAATATTGCCGATTTCTTGTTATTTCTCTTGTGACAGTTTTTGAATCATGAAATAAGTGTGAAATCTCACGCAAGTAATCGAGCGTATAGATGTATATCATAATATTACGCATGTTATGCAGTGCAACTTTCAAGATGAAATTTGTTAGAGAGTAATGAGAGGTTAGGAAAACTTCACAATCGATCAGCGTTATTTTGTTATTGCACGAGTTATCATTTCGTATAGTTTGTACAGATTTTTGCATATATTTATGTATGTACAAACATAAATATATTATGAAAATAAGGGGAAACTCTCTTATTTTCATAAATAATAGAACAGTCCAGTGAGATTAGTATTTATAGAAGAAAATGTTCCCCAAATTAATTTGGTTGAAATGAGAATTATTAACGAGTTTTTCTTTCCGACGTTTCAGAACTATTGAATCAAATGAATCTTGTCCGCAGCGATATTTTCATTTTCGAACTGGTCTATTTTTAACGTTGATTTTGGATATTTATTAGGATGTCAAAAGACGGCAAGCTAGCATTGAGGCCAAAAGTTAGGTTTAGTCAAAATGCAGAGTCAACAGACATTGAGTGCATAAATCTGTCACAAGATGAAAAATGCTCGGAGAATAGTGATAAACCTCGTATCATCGATGTACGCACTTTAAAGAAACCTGTGAAGGTAGTATACTCTGACTCGATTCCAACATGTACGACAACGTCTGTTGGAAGTAGCGCTCAGTCCCTCAAAAATGTATCGGAAGTGAAAACCTCATCTGATTTGAATTGCGATTCTGATCTATCTATGGAGAAATGCTCCGAATCGAAGGAATCTGCAGATAGCAAAAAGTTGCATGCAACTACCAATTCTAATCCGGCTGATATTAAAAAGAAATCTACAAAAATTGACGAACCATTCTTATCGCATTTCCAAAAGAAAGGGACCATATCATCAGGACGGAAGAAAGCTTCAATGGTTTCCGAGAGTACAGATTCCTTGAGCAATAAAAAGCCCAGCATCTCGACGAGCAAATCTCATACGAGTATGAATAAATTATTTGCAAATGGGATTAAGTCCCCAAGTGCGGTATTAAAAAATGAGTTGCCTAAAGGAAAAATAACTGCCGAAAGTAACGATTCTGTAAATATCAAACATGCTGCCAAGAGTTCGATAAATAAATGTTATTCCGAACGAGTAAAAAATTCAAAAAGTGAATCTCGTTCCTATAATATCACCTCCAAAAATGAAAGGGTTAAACCGAGAGATACCAAAGTTTCTTTGTCAGTGCAAAAAATGTCTCAGAAACCTACCGTCGGACCTTATTTAAAGAATCGAAAGCAGACTGTAAAACCTTCAGGTAGTCCTGTTAAAAAATCGATTCTCCGAAATGTAAATGCCCCTTTGACAAGTGCTTATATCGGTTCTGGTGTATTAAAAAGCAAACCTGAAAATCGCCAATCTGCGTCAAAGATTGACCAGGCCAATTTCAAATTGACTATCCCATCGGAAGATAAATTAAGACAGCCTAAATGTAATTCCATATTGACAACAATCAACAAATTGCGAGAAGCTCAAAAAGAGAATATTGTAACAGACATTGAACATTTGCCACCAGTTTATAAAGCATTAATGAATGAAAAGGTACGTTTCTGATAAATACTACATAAACCATAACATAATATCTAACACCATAATTTCCTCGCCTACTTTAAGATCTTATCAATTTATTTCCATTAACAGATTTCTGCAGCTCTGGAGTTCCCAGCTGATGAAATTATTTACAAAAATTTAATAGACTTGACTATAGATGACAAGGATCTGCCAAGCAGAGTGACTCGAAGTAAAGATCCAGAACCTCGACAAAAAGACATAGAGCCTAAGCTATCAGATTTCTTCACTCCAGAGTACGGGACAGAGTATTGTCATGCAGCGAAATTGGATCCTAAAGTCTCCGAGAGCTTCGACAACTTTAGTTCATTTCGCATCAGTGATAAAATCTTTGAATGGAAACGAATGCTCGATCGTTCCTGTTAATACCTAACTTCTTCAGTTTTCCCATTTCATCTAATTTATTAATTGTACAAGTGTAATTCATATAATTACTTTATTTTTATACAAAGAGAATAATCTTAGAGAAGAGTATCAGACCTGCGATTATATAAAAAGCTTTGCCTTTATACACAGTATTATGATTACCTTTCTCAATTGAAGCAAATATTCCGCATTCTATACAATTACTTTTGACATTACATTCTCTAAAGAACCCTTCGATGATTCTCTTTGCGTCAACCAATCCACAAATGCTCGGAGAGAAAGAAAGTCTTTAATATTACATAGAGAAAGGATTTAGGTTCTTATCGTAGTCATCATCGTCATCTTTGAAAGGATTATTTGCATCTTCATCCTCATCGAAAGGATTCTTGGACTTAACGAAGCCATCCCCTTCGAAGGGATTCACAGGCTCTATCGGAGTCTTCGGCAGGATGAAGGGCTTCTGTATCGGAGATGCCTTTGGCGAAGAATTATTCAAGATTCGTGCTTCCTTAATACGAACTGGAGAAGCTTTTCTGGAATTAGTTCTAGGCGTTGACAAGCCACTCCCAGTTCCCGATACATTAGCCTCCAAAGATGAAGAGTATACGTCTTGCCTTGGGAATGTTCGAAGAATATCTTCTCCCTTTCCTACGATAGGATTCGAAGAGGTATCTGAACGACGAGTCTCTGTCTTAACTGCAACAGTTGGATTATTAATTAACACGCCATCTTCCTTAGGTCCTAAAGTAAAAATATCTGGCTATCAAATAATAATTACAAGTGCAATTTTTATTGGAAATTCTCGAAGATCACATCTTCCTGGGACACGTACCAAAGGATGGATTGCTATTCCCTTCGGTCAGTCTGATTTTAGCTTCGGCACCTGGCCCGTAAGTATTATAATTAGGCTTTGGTTCTTCGAACTTCCTTGGTGGAATTGTCAAAGGTTTGTCTGCGTCGGTAATGACCATTAACTTCTTAAAGACTCCTCGCCCAAAATATTCAGCTACTAAAGAAAATGGATCCTCAGCGCGATCCAAAAGACTGTGGAAGGTTTCATGAAGGTCTCTCGATTGCTCCTGGGCCTTGTTGATATCGAGAAGCTTTTTGTTGTTAGGCAGACAAGCTGGACACTCGTTCTCGTTTTCAGAGAAACTCTGGAAGCAACTGGAAATACAACAACTTTTTTACAACGTATTTACGAAGAAGGTCTCATTTTAAGGTGAAGTGAAACACGTCGAGGAACTTGACCGAAGTCGGTACAAAAAGGTTCTCCTAAGTACCTACGTTGCCGACGTTCGTTTATATATTAACAGCTGTGTCGATTTATATTGGGTATTGTACTAAATGGCATACTCCACTTGTTTTCGTACAATAATTATAAAGTAATCGAAGTAAACCTCCAGAAATCCTCTGGATTCATGATATCCGAGGCACTAATTGACTGCAAAGGGACCCCCTGCGCCATCTCTGATTTCCGGGTCAACTAAATTTTCACTCAGAGACCTTGTATTACCATCGTTTTATCATAGAAGCGCATACAACACTTTTTTTGTCTTTATCCCGTTCAAATGCGAGTTTATCGATTACCAGAGTGTTCTAAATTGTCGTAAAATTCTCCTGACCCTTTGGATTCTCATATCAGAGCCTTCGATAATTGTATATTGATCGAAATATGAGAGCTCGACACCATTTTGGTTCTGGTGTGGGATAAGTTAATAAATGTGTTGTAAAAATCCAAATGTTGAAAGTGTCAAGACAATTTCTAGGTGCACACGAGTCATGTGTCAGTTTCAGACAGTTTTATCCGATACCCTTAAAAAAAAGTGTCTTATTTGTGTCGACTGATCTAAGGGGGGTTTCACTTCACCTTAACCGAATCCAATTTGGACACAAAACGTACTGTTGGTGGTAGGAATGTTGGCACATGAAGTGTACCGATGGCAGTTCTAACTGATGGTGGCAGGCACTGCATCGGGAGCCTTGAAAAATGATTGTGTTATTTTTAATGGTCTCTATTTGTTCTCGAAGTTTCACAGTGTCTGCTCTGTATTTTTCCATCAACTCTGCATCAGCTTGAGTCTGTTCGTACTCAGATTTCAGTACGCTGTTGAGGTAAGACCGAACATCTCCTAAAGTACAGGTCGATGACGTAGAAAGGGCATCGATCACCATCAAAGGAGACAGCAATCTCTTGTTCCCTACACAAAGGATATGATACATTAGTTTCTCTAAGAATAATTTCATGTAAGAAATTGTACCGTAACAGTATTTAGATACACACCGATGTAGGAGAGAATGTCAGTTAGGAGCTTCGGAGAGGAGTTCTTAGTTCTTGCAGTGCACCACAATGCCTGTATCCATAAATTTGGATCCTGATGACCAAATCTTTTGCAAGTTGCCAGAACTTGCTCGTCTTCACCCTCTCGGAGATGGTATCGAAGGATTTCTTGGTACCTGGAAATTTGTTCGTTACATAAGGAGAAAATTAATCACTTCGAGAAATAATTATGAGAGAGAGGTTTACAATCACTCACAGTTTCTTTTCTTCATAGAGGAAGAGAAGGCCCTTACGGAAATTGTGTTGTCGACAGAGGATCAGAATCTGTTCTTTGTCGTAACAAGCCTCTGAGCTCTGCAAGACGCGAACAACTTTCTGTTCATATTGGAGTTTGGATACTTCATTCTCGAGGGCGGACCAAACGTGGAGATAATGCTCCACCAATGTATTGTAAACTAGGGTACTCCATCTAGAAGAAGATAATAATTCATCGGAGAGGAAGTCTTCGTTCAAATGAAATTCCACTTTGATCTAACGATCCCACTAACTTGATATCGAATTTTGTTAAGTGTTCTAAGAATTCCACCAGCCGTTCCGAGTTGTTCAGGAATAAATGGATGAAATCTTTCGGGTTCGCTCTGTCAGTACCCTCTTCATTCTCATTCCACAAATTCTACGATTCAAGATTTGTCATTTTATTATATCGTAGATTTTTTCACAAAAGAATAAATGCAATTACTAGCTCCTATCTAAATATAATATCAGTAGAATTACCTGTTCCGCTTGAGAACTCTTGGGTTTGTAATTCGTGCAGAGAACTTTTAGGAACTCCGTTGCCTCGTTTGGTACATTTTCAATGAGAATGTTTCCGTATTTTTTCATGTTAGCTTCTGCCTGTAACAGGAATGAAGTGTTTTTTTTAAAAATGCATATATGTTATCTAATCGAAGTGAAAATTAAAATTAAAATTTACCTCATCGAAGTCCAAAGTAGCTATGTAGTCGAGAGCTTTTATATATTCTCCTTTGTCTTCGATCTGTATGCACAGATACCAGTCGTGTTTACCATGCTTTTGGGCTAACAAAAGAGCGTCTTCTGGAGAAGCTTGTCGACAGACTTTTATAGCTATCTCAACGTCAAAATCTACTTTCCTGTCCTTGGTCTGCAAGCGACATGTTATATTTAAATCTCCCAGACAAATAACAACGCACTCCACTTACCATTATGAATTCTTTCAACTTGTCGGTGTGGTTCAGCTTGGTGTAGCAATTCAATAACAAAGTTGTGTGGTCTTCGGTGGCTTGGCCCTTTTTATGCAGTGCTTGTAAATATGTTGTTAAGTTGTCGATATGCTGCGAGTCCAAAAATTTTCTTATTACATAGGATGGCTCCAGCTTGCCGATGGTCTGAATGTATTGTTCTATTGCTCCGTTGTGATCTCCTTTCGAGTAAAGATGGTCGCCGTACTGTCTTAGGATATCAACAAGTCCTTCGGCATCATATTGCTGATTCTCCGCTATCCTGGAAATATAAATTGTCCATTAAATATAAACGTGACTTCTATAAAGAGAAATGAAATTAACTTTCATATCTAGTTGATAAAGAGCACGGAATGATTTTCGTGTTCAGATGTGTTAATGAAGTTCATCGTCATCATTGAAATATCTGAATTAGATTTCATTAAAGTGTCATACCTTATTGAAACATCGTAAAGGTTTTTCTTGAAGAGGAGGGCCAACTTTGATTGTAAATCCTTTTCATCCAGATGATAAAGTTTTCCTTCGCCACTAAGAATGAAGAATCCTCCCCACTCGGATAGAACTGCCTGAACCGAGAGCATCGGGGCAGAGAATACTATAAACTTATTCTGGATATCGAGTACAGTAATAACGTGTTTGTCTACACCAGGTGGTATCGGCTCGATGGTGCTATAAAGGAATGGTCAATATACAGAATTTCTCTCATCTAAAAACTTGAATTTGTCTTTAAAGGTTTCTCAGTAATAAAATACTTAGGCTTTGCAGATATCGTAGTGGTTGTCCTTGGAACATTCGCAGCTTCCTTGGCAACGATGACTAAGTAACTGCGAAACCATTCTAGCATTATCTTTTGGCCCTCTACTGCATAGCACGCACCTCTTCCATCCGGAGTGTAACAATAAATGGCCTAACAAAATATTATTTTATATAAATGAGATGATAAAGTAGTATACTCAACTTTCTTATAACACGGTTCATTCGTTCCTTGTTTTCAAAATGTGCTGCATCGAAACCATGTTGGGAAAAACTGGAAAATATATATTTCAATGTGAATAGTGCGATGAAAAGATTCGTACTATATGAGGATCGTTCTAGTTATATGGAAACTGTACTATACGAATATCATTAGAGGGAAGTCGGAATATGTAAACCATGTCATAAGAGCACTGAGTGTATAAACACGTTTGGCATAAAACACACACATCATTACGACCGATCATGAAGTGACCATCCGGCATGGATTCTGCAAGAACGCTGCACTTAGCAGAGCAACCCATATTGTCTAGCGGTGATTTGTATTCCATATCTTTTACAGAAATATTATATAGAAAAACGCTACTAGTCGTAGCAACAAAGAGATGATTTTGCTTGCTGGTGGACCTTATCGCAAGACCCGTTATACAAATGTTCGTGTCCTTTAAAACTTTTATTTTGCTTTTCCGCTTCCCAGTAAGATCTCCCCTAAAAGTTTAAACATTATATCAAATTAATGTTCCAGATGTATTTGAGAATGAACTGATTTCCTTTAACGTTTACCTGTAGAGCATGATTGAACCATCTTCAAAACCAACAGCCATTATCGTTAAATTTGCATGAACACATAATGCCGTAGGCGGAACCGCTCGATAGCTGGGTATTGCCCTAGTGATTCTTATGCAAGTTGGGATACCTTGTTTATCTGGCTTAGCGAGATTCCAAACCTTTATCGTGGGATTACAGCCATGTTCATCTTCCTAAAATAGTTTAAACATGAGACTCGGATCCCATAAAACTTAATTATGATACTCACACCAATCGTGAAGAGAAAGGTCGAGTGCTGGACTTGTTGCGCCAGCGAGACCATGACTTCGTACGCCTGGAATGTCTGAACTTGGTACGTCCGATTAACAACATGCACATTACCAGAGTCATCGCAGAAGATCAGGTTGCCGTTTCCACTCGTAGCTGCCGTAACTCGTGCACTCTGTGCAACGTGAGCCACAAATATTGTATTAACAAATGTATAAAATTATTATGTTGTCACCATTAAAAACGGTGCTTATTGTAATTGCATTTATATCCTAGAAATTTTTACAAAGCATTTGGGTTAATTAAATTAATTGACTTACTCCAAGAGCTTCGGCAATTCTCCCAGAATCAACTTCTCTCTTAAGATCGAAGAAATTGAAACGACGCCACTAAATTTAAAAGGAAACATAAGATTTATGATATTCACATTCGAGGTTATGTACCCGTAAAAGATAAAGTTTAAACCACTCACCTCCAAAAATGCCATTATTGACTAGAGTTCCTTAAATCAATACATGCATAAACATTGAAAGATTAATTCTTCAAGGAGTGATTTCCTTTACCATTATCATTTGACAGTTCTTCGAAATCACCTTTACGGATAATGAAAATTATCTATATTTAAGTCATCTTTAGCAGAACAAATTTACAGGCCAGCGAAATAATCCATTCGTAGATAGAGAATACAGTGTTAGAAATAAGTTAATATACCATCAGCGCCAAGTTCCACTTTATTTCTTCCGGCAAATCTTGGTACTTCCATATCACCCTGAAAGATGAGTAATTTTGCGCAGTTGGAAGTTCTAACTTCAAGGTTGGGTAATTTTTTTGTGGTTTTTGACTATATACTACGTAAATCAAGTAGTTTACCGGAGAAACGTAGAAAACCAGGAGAAAACGTATCAAATATGGCGGACAAGACAGACGTAGGGCATGCGGTATTCGCTAGGTTATAAACATCCATCTTGTCCATTTGTTTCATCCCATAATTTACTTTTTATCCCATAATTTACTTTTAAGTTCTAACTTCAAGGTTGGGTAATTTTTTTCGTGGTTTTTGACGTATGTACTACGTAAATCAAGTAGTTTACCGTAGAAAACGTAGAAAACCATGAGAAAACGTATCAAATATGGCGGACAAGCTAGACGTAGGGCATGCGGTACCCGCTAGGTTATAAACATCCATCTTGTCCATTTGTTTCATCCCATAATTTACTTTTTGCTCTTCCACCTTTACACATTATGATACAAATATTGGTTACGAATCTTACGACTTCAAATAGCCGTTATCAGCCGTTACAAACAAACGTCAAATGCACATATATGCATACATTTGAAATTTCGAATGTGCGCGGATATGTGGATGCGTACTGACGATATTGCGCATGCGCTTCGCACATTTAGTTTGGGGTAATATACTTCGTGCCTGCATAGAAAACTAGGGACGTATTATACGTTGTAATATACCTGTAGAAAACCACGTATATTATTTCCCAACTCTGCTTCTATATCAACCTGAAAGATGAGGAATTTTGCGCAGTTGGAAGTTCTAACTATTCGTTAAAGATGGCAATATAAACTAAGGTACCTGCGACATCTAGCGGATCATTTACGAAACGCCTCAGCGAACCTCTATTGTCTACCCACGATAATAGAGTTCTGAATCACTACCGTGAATCTTTGTCCAATCAACGACAGAGTACGCCAGCAATACGACTGTATACACCGCCTGTATATAAGATGATATGAAAGGCGCTGAGAAATTTCATCAATATCGATAAATTAATATTCATGTATACCTTTTTTGGTGGAAACGTCATTTTGAATACTCAAGTGGGAACATAAGCTGGCGCGTCCCGTTACCGACATTTATATTTATGTTCAAGTCTTTTACAGTCTGCGTTGATAATTATACGAACTGAAGTGCTCCATATGTCATTTCGGTAAAGTAATGACGAAGAGATCGATGTAAAACTGTCGAAATCCCGTAAATTTCATTATTCTAACGACTGTTTAGGACCAACGTCGCCATCTGTGACGTTTAGCTGCAACTAAACTTTTGCTCTAAAGACTCTGTAATATTCCATTTCTACAGTATTCTAAATTGTTCGAGCTAAGTCCTGAAACTCTTCATTTTCGATTCTAAGCCTCCAAGAAGCGTAAAACATCGAAAACGTGCCCGAACCACTCCATGTTGGTTCCAATACATGATAAGTAAATAAATTTTTGATGAAAAATGAAATTTCACGAGTTTCAGGACCTACCCTAGGGTCTCCATATTCACGTTTTAAAGTATGAAACGATTTGAGACACCCAGTTCTATGAAAAGTTTTATGAACGATTGATCTTTCGGATGCCACTTTCACATCCCCTTAACATAATTTATAAATAATCCATGTTGATTAACTTTTGAGTACAGAAGATGCAATTATTGATGGCGTTACCATAACGTTGAGATAGAACGCAAGGAAGGGTTAAGAAAAAGCCGCGCATCGTCAGAATGCCGCAACGGGTTAGAATCCATTGGAGCTCTCTGGCAAAGTACGCTTCCTCGTTAGTAAGACGTAAGTTCTGTTATATTTGTTAAAAAGGACGAACAGTTAGTGTCAATGATGATGGTAGGGCATTGTTTTACAGGGGCGGAATTCGCTGTGAATAAAACATCGGGCTCGAAATTCGGAAAGCCGATTATCGTGTACAGTGATTCGACGCCTACGGAGACGAGCGGGCACTGAGAGGAGATCCACCTTAAAAATAACCTAAGGGACTATTTTTTAAATATTAGGAACGGGCTTTTCCTTTAATAACATACTTCGGACACGAGAGGCATTGAAAAGAATTTAATTTTAACTATGGAAGTAACGTATGCTTAAGATATTAAGGTGAAGTGAAACACGTCGAGGAACTTGATCGACGTCGGTGAAAAAGGTTTTTCTAAATGCCTACGTTGCCGACGTTCGTTTTTATATTGACAGCTGGGTCGAATTATATTCGGTATTGTACTAAATGGCATGCTCCATCTACCGTTTTCGTACAATAATTATAAAGAAATCCAAGTATAACTCCGGAAACCCTCTGGATTCATAGTTTCTGAGGCCCTAATTGACTGCAGAGGGACCCCCTGCGCCATATGTGATTTCCGTGTCAATTAAATTTTCACCCCGAGACCTCGTATTACCATCGTTTTAGCATAGCAGCGCATAAGACACTTTTTTTCCCTTTATCCCGTTCAAATGCGAGTTTCTCGATTACCAAAGTGCCCTAAATTGTCGTACAATTGTCCTGACACTTTCGTTTCTCATATTAGAGCCTTCAATAATTGTATACTAATTGAGATATCAGAGCTCGACGTCATTTTGCTTCGCATTTGAGGGAGGGTTTCACTTCACCTTAAACATTTAAGATGAACTCAGGGTGTTGGATAATATTTATAGAGGTTCTCTTTCTCAGAATGCCCAACAGGACCAAAGTTTTAGACGGTTCGATCCAATACCCTTAAAAAAAAGTGTCTCATTCGAAGCGACTGATTTGAGGGCGGGTTTCACTTCACCTTAAACATTTAAGATGAACTCAGGGTGTCGGATAATATTTATAGAGGTTCTCTTCCTCGCAATGCCCAACAGGACTAATGGAGTCATTCGGTGGTGTCGCATTTGAAAAAACCTGCCCGTAAATTCTTTCCAGAAAGAGTACGGCCAACTGATTTAGCTCAACAACCAGCGGCATAATTTTCGAAATCACCATATTACCTGCCTTCCGGTTTCTCCCGAACTTCCGGCCAATCGGCGTCTTACAGGGACGAGCCCGAGCACTCAGCGGAATCCTTACGGCCAAACCAAATCGGCCATTACCTCGGCAAAGTTAATTAATCCGGGACTTATTTCAACGTGCTTTTCGGAATCAATCTCGTCGTAGCGCAATGAGCATTAACAAAGTGACCATTGTACGCAGTTAGTTCGGTCGTCGGCCGGCTTCTTTCCGGAGGCCGCCTCTATCCTGCGGCGCGTCACGTGACGCCCGGTCACGTGATACCGCCAAGTGGCGGCGGGAAATTTGAACGGGGGCGGGCGCGCGCAGCGCCGCCTGGGCGCCGTTAAAACAACTATACACGTTTTTCTCTCTCACTTTTGTACGTTAACCGTGCTCGGGTCTAAGGAGGATCGCAGAAAACAAAAAAAAAGAAAAAAACTGGATATAAACGAGGAAACGAACGGCGGATCGCTCGAAGATAAGTCTTAGAACCGACGAGATATCAACGCTTCGTTGTATCGCGACAAAGGAGTCTTCTCTCCCAGAGGATGACGCGGGTTGGCTCGCTCGGCGAAACGGTCGCTGTCCCCAGCTCCCCGATCGGCGAGACCTCTAAACGACATTCAGAGACGAATTCCACGTAGTTTATACCTAGGATTACCTATTACCATAGATGCAGTGCGCGCGGCCCTTTCGTCCCGAGGCGCGGTCGATCCCTGCCTTACCGATCGCGCTCAGCCGCGCGTCCACTTACCGATCGGATTGATTCTCGACCTCCGACGGTTCGAATGGAAACTAAACTTAAAGATCCTCACCTTCCCGACATCGGGATTCCACTTCATCGGACACATATGTGCCCATAATTATGAAAGTGGTCTAAGTGAAAATTAAAAAAAAAAATGAGTTTATCAGTTATTTCAAAGGAAATTAATTCAATGTAATTTCGAAACAAAAGATATATGACTTAGACCACTTTCATAATTATGGGCACATATCTTAGGATGATTACTGATTAGGGATCGGTCGCGTCTCTTTTGACTTTCGACGGATTTGCCGAAAATCCGGAGCCGCGTTCTTTCTCTCTCTCTCTTTCGCCTTATTCGCATTTTCTCCCTACGCTATTACTTTTCATCGCCTACCTTACGTACAGTAATACCTAATAGTAGTAATGTCTCCCTCAAACCTAGTTCTCGCTTTCTCTCTTGCTCTCCCTTGCGCTCACTCTCTCTCTCTCGTTCTTTCGCGTTTTCTCCCCCATTCGTTCTCTCTCTCTCTATTTAAAAATCTCCACATTTGTCAGTATTGCACTTGGCGGCGCTTAAGTCGCAAGCCGATTGCCTCCGAATTTGGGAATACTCGGAGTTTAACCGACATTCCCGTCTCTGTTCAATTTCCTTTTTATTATTCGCCTATTTGGGGGAAGTGCGAGTTCTCGACAGCGCCAATTGCTTCGCCGATCTCCCGGTAGAGTCGCTAGCGTCGGCCTCGTATCCAGAGTTCGAAAATTCTCGGTGACATTAAATTCGAGAAGGTAACTGTAAAACATACCGTAAGTTACCGGGAACATTGAGAATTTAAGAGAACGTTAATTTTGTTATTTATACTTTAGGTTTCTTCGTTTAAATAACTTTTTCTTTTTTCAATCAACTTCAAAGTTCAAGCTATAGAGTAATAATTACTGTTAGAAAATATTGATTATAGGGTCGGATTTACCTCCAGCTAAAAATATTCACGTATGTACAACTTCACGGAATATTCCATGTGATTTGTTTCAAATGAACTGATATTTCATTCTGCGACGAAGCGAATGGGAGGTTTTCATTGGCTACGGAGAACGTACAACGGAAATTCCCCTCTACGATGTTTCTCTATAGCTAATCGAAACCTCTCGTTCGATCTGTTGAAAAATTCAAATTCTCATAATTTCTTCGATAAAAAAGGCTTTGGAGAAATGACCGATAAGTTACCGGGAATTTCTCTTCGTTTCTTACGTAACTTACTGGGTTTAGAACTCTACTCGGATCTGGCTCGAGAACTCTGATGGTTATCGCGGAACATTATCGACATTATTAATCAATAATTACTCAGGTCCTTTATTATTCCCGATAAATATCTCGATGGGGTTCTGATGGATATCCAGTGATAGAGGGTTATCGAGCACATGACATTTTA